TGTATAAGTTGGGCTCTTTATGAGGGTCAGAGCCCAGCTCGGAACGGGTGTTGCTTCGGCTCGGCCGGGCGCAGGTTCCTCTCCTCGAAACGGAGCCACGGTTGGGGAGCTCTTTTGCTTTGGAAGAACCCCCCAACCTGCAAAAATAGGGCCCTTGTCCTGGTCCTAGTCAAAAATGGGGGACTAAGGGGACCATGTTTGAGCTTGTTTGAGCTCTATCTATCTGTCTGTCTGTCTGTCTATCTATCTAGTTTAGTATGAAACCGCCAAACCCCGCGTTTGGAAGCTACCCTGAAAGGTTCCACCTGCAGCCTGCGCCGTTTTCCGCGGTCGGGCGCTCCGGACCCATCGTGGCATTCCTGTTGGGCCATAGGCCTGGATCAGTGAAGGGTCCCTCTGGGACAAAACATTCCAAAGACTCCCAAAGATCCCTCTAACAAGGGCATCGCTACTGCTACTACTACTACTACTACGACTACGACTACGACTACGACTACGACTACGACTACTACTACTACTACCACCACCACCACGACTACGACTACGACTACGACTACGACTACGACTACGACGACTACTACTACGACTACGACTACGACTACGACTACGACTACTACGACTACGACTACGACTACGACTACGACTACGACTACTACTACTACTACTACTACTACTACTACTACTACTACTACTACTACTACTACGAGTACTACTACTACTTGCACTAAGGTCCCTTTGATACTAGTAGCTTCTTCTTACTAGTAGCAATGCCAGGAGCTACTAGTTGCTTCTTTCTCCGGCATTCCAAAGGCTCCAATAGATTCCTCCGTGGTCCTTTCGGTCCAAGATACGCAACAGTCGCCGCAGCTGCCGTCACTGACGGAGCCGAGCTCTCTGAGGAGCTCCTCTCAGCAGCGCACAGGGCCGCCGACAGCGCACAGGTTGGCTCTGTCATTAGGCGGCACCAATCAATACTAATATGTCCAATCATACATATCACAGCAATGGATCAGGTGTCCACACTTCACATGCCACTGCCAAACGTTTGCCTTCTTCCTCGAAACGTTTACCACTTTGCAATCAGATCCCGGTTGACCCCGGCCACAGACTGAGCCGACCCGCCCGCAATGCCGAACCTTGCGCCGACGCCGTCGGCCGAGCAGCGTCCTGGAAGCTACTGGGCACCTTCAAATGCTGCCGAGCCAAGCGCTCCAACGCTTCGGCGGAGACCTGCGTTGCGAATGCTTCTTGGGGTCAGGTCTTTCTTCCCATGGCCATATGGCCATCCCCCACAAATCCCCCTGGGCCACCCCTCTGAAACCAACGGCGTGGGCCCAACGCCGCCTCCGGCAGCTGGTGCTGTGCAATGAGGCGCCGGAGGAAGACGACCTAGACAGACGCAGGTTCGACACGCCGCAGGATGTTTCTGCCGAACTTCATCCATATGGAACAGCCAAAAATGCAGAAACTTGGTACCAGCACCCTCCTGTCGGGGTGCCCTGTCTGGAAGCCTTTTTCAGTCGTGTGGGGTAGTCCATGTTGGAAAGAAACATATATGATATGTTTTGGTGTGTAACCATGTGTAACCATGTGTAACCACGTTGGAAATTTGGTATAGTTGGAAAAGCCAGAGGCGTGTGGAGTGTGTAACCATGTGTAACCCATTCTCAATAGGGAGATCCCCTGCCAATGGCGTTTGATCGACTTTCTTTCTTCCATGGGGTTGAACCCCACAAAACGGTGGAGGGACGCTAGACGTCACGGGGCGGTGACGACAGAGACGTGAAGCCAATGAACGCCCACTCCGAACACACGCCAGGCATGGGGCGGCTGCCAGTCGTGCCAGGCTTCATGTTTAGATCAAAGATCGAAGCGCGGAGAGCAGAGTCGTCCCGTTTCTGTCCCATCTCGTTGTTCACCTCCGAGCTGCCATCTGCTCCTGGTCCCCGCGTCGAATCAGCTCCCGATAGCCCTCCTTGTCCAGCGCCACGGCCGCGCTCGCGGCGCTCGCGGCGCTCATCAGCGGCTGCGTCGCCATGGCGCCGGACGTGCTCCGGTGGACTGGTGCGACGGACGGGTGGCGGGACCTGCGAGGGTGGCTGATTCCCTGCTCGAGGTCCCCCCTGGGCGGTGTGTGGATGGAAGATGATGGAAGCATGGAGATCTTGCCTCGGAGCTGCATGTGTTCCTCTCGGGCCGGTGTGGTTCTTGCTATCTTCACCGGTTCTCAGGGCCGCAGAGGAGGAAAATCGAAGCGATGGGCACGGACCTCTAGGGACCTCTAGAAGGCATGACGGCTTGCCTGAACCAGATGGGCGGACAAAAAAATGCCAGATCCTGTTGATCACTTCTGGGGGTGGTGGTTTGAAGACACCCTTTAATCAGTAATTAAACCAAACATTGAGATGGCGATTGGTGTGACTTCCCTTTCGATCCTTCGTGTTGTGAGCTTCCGCCATGCGAGCTGGGCTCAGCCATGCGTGGTGGAGCACCGAGTGCATGCCAGAGCAGCTGCTGAGCTGCAGCAGTGATGGACGAGAAGGACCAGATTTGGATGGACACCGCTCAAACGGTCTGACGTACCGCTGCCATCGGGAGGTTCCAAACCAATTGCCCCCCAACACACCCTGTGCAGCCTGGCCCGAAACCATCATAGTGGGGGGATAGACTGTGTGTGTGGGGGGGGGTCGGTTTGGAAGAAGATCTGACGCGTGGGACTGATATCACATACACCACCAAAAGCTAACCAGAAAAGTAAAATCCCTTTCAAAATGATGTATTGGAAACCGTTTCTATCTATTTGAGAACCACTTTACACCACCGGGTCACCTCACCTCGACCCTTCCAAGCCTAACTCCGAAAGGTTACCCTCCTTGGATGCACGTCGCGTCTGACCTCGAGCTGAGGTTCAGGTCGCCTGGCCAGAACCGTGGCCCCCATCCAAAGCCCCTGGCACCAAATGGACGTCCGCAAGGCGCAAGCGCCATGACATCAAGTCACTGCACCCACGCGGCCAGCGCCACCTCTTTTCTAAAGCACTCGTCCTCGTCTGATTCGAGAGGCACCCAATGGCTCCAATGAAACCAGCACCCAATGGCTGCACATCTGCCGAAACCAGAAATCCAGACCTGTTGACACTGGGCCAGGACTGACTGAAACTTGGCCAGCCCAGTGGGATGTCCAGCCCACTGGCTTTTTAAAATGGTTGACCTTGGTTTGTGTCGTAAAATCCTGAGCCAAACCATGTAAAACCTGTGGTGGTTCGGGATTCCAACCATCGCATTCGGGTCATTGACCCCACCTTCACCCTGGACCGCCGCGGAGGGCCTCGTGCGGAGGGCCATGCTGCCTCAACAGAGCAAGCGACCCATGATGCGTGGAGAGGGGCCTTGATGCGAACCAATTGGCTCCAAACGCACTTCCAAACCAGGACCCTCCGACCTTCGGGGTGTCCTGGCTGAACTACTACCCCACACGAAAAAGGCTTCCAGACAGGGCACCGACAGGGTCCTGGAATGATTTGGGGTCAAAAGATGAAACATCTAAGCCAGATATGGCTTCGCCCTCCTAGGGCTGGTTCGCCCGATGGTTCTGGGTGATGACTTTCTGTCACGGTTCCGCGGCCGCGGCCGCTGGCAGCTCGAAGCTTTTTCGTCCAAAGCGGAACGATTCGGCATGCAGCGGGTGAAACAACGACCCCGGTCTGTGGGCGACTCCACGTTTCGGCGAATCTCTCTCCAGCCTCGCGTGGGCGTTCGCCTAGAGAACCACTCCCGTTCGCCTTCAAGGACCCTTTAAAGAATAGTCCAAAAACATTCTGTAGTCCATTGAAATCCCAGGGATTTAAAGGACCTGCATCGGAACTGGCCGTGGGTGCGACCCGTGGCCTGTGAATCTCAAAGTACTATCACTTTTGAGGAAGTTTTCTCTGAAAGCTTCACATACGTACTTCCTTCTGTGAATCACCCACGACCGCCATGAGATCAAGGCCCTACAATGGTCTCAATTGCTTATGGAGGGTGCAGCTATATGTTCAAGGAGTCTGCCCGGGATATTCTCCTGCTTCTCTTGGGATCTGTCAGTCGTGACCCACCCCGTGGAAAAGAACCAACTGCAGATCTGCAGAGTCCAGCCACCCTACACGCCCCGCCCAGCGGCGGTCCACCGGCAGGCCGTCGCCCACAGCCGTTGGTCACGAGGTGCAGAAATGTGAAACCCGCGGAGTGGGGGGTGGAGGGCAGAAGAGAACCGGGCCAAAGGCGGCCAAATGGGACGTGCCGCCCACGCTTTCTCCCCGGGCAGGGTGCCTTGTTCCCCAACCGAAAGATCTTCTCCAGAACCGGTTCTGGGACTGATCCGTGAAAGGGCCCCCTGGGACCGAGGTGAAAAGGCCCCCCAACTCCCTGCTCTCCACGCGAAACGCGAGCCGCCGTCGACTGACGTCGAAGACGACCCAGCTCAGTCGAGACGGGTGATCTGCCGCAAGGTGTTGTCCCGCGTCGTCCGGATGTCCTGGCCGGTCCGAGTGAGCACAGAGAGTGAAGCACAAAGAGATGCAGGAAGTGCCCCCTGTCTGGTTTTTGCATTGTTTTGCCAGGCCCACGCGTGGTCTGCAGCTTTTGAAGCATTGTGGCCAAGGGTATTTTGCTTCTTGCATGCCTTGATTCAGCCATACTTAAGCCTTTATCTGCGCAGCGGCCCAAAGGGTCAAAAGGTTAGTTATCACCGACTTGCTTCCCGAATCGGGTGTCGTGTGAACTCCCCGGGCCCTATGGACGGACCAAGCTCGGAGAATCCCATGTACCTGGGAAACCAGTCCCAACCAGAAACAAATGGATGTTTCCCCAGTCCCAGCCATTTCCTATGTAAAGGATGTCAAGCTGGCGCCATATTGGAACAACCATTTGTTTCTGGTTGGGACTGGGTTTCCAGGTAGAATTCTGCCTCCACCATCCTCCACCATCCTCAGGTCTGCCTGCTGAAGGGAGGGTCGTTTTGCGTCAAAACGACCAGCAACTCTCGCATGTTCCACCTTTGACCCTGGATGGGGGTTCTATGAGCGTCGTCCCAGGTCTTCCTCGAAAAACACCCCACCACCACAACCGCCCGAACGCTCTGTCCTTCTTGGAGAGGTCCTGCGCCTGCTGCCCAAAGCTGGGGTCCGTGAGCGCGCCGTTGAACCGCGAGCTTTGCTCCTCGGCACGTGGACGAAGGAAGCTCCAGCGCGAGATGTGGCCCCCAGGGTCCGATTGAGGTAGGACGTCGCGAATCGCATGGTGCTCATCCACCCAAAAAAGAAGTCAGGGGTCAAAATCAGGCCACCCCTGCCTCTCAGAAACTGTTTCAGTGAGGAGCACATAACTGGCCAAGATGACCAAAGGTGTCAATACAAAACAAAAATACCATCACAAAAAGACTTCCACTGCCCCGGGCACGTAGCTGGTGTAGGGCGACACGCCACTGGGCATCGTGTGGGAGAAGCCTGCGGCGCCCGGCACCTCTGTCGCGCCTGGCAGCGCCTGCAGTGAAACGCTATGTGGAGTGGAGAATCGGAGAATAGTGGAGCTCATCCTAGAAGAAGTGGCTAAAGGGAAAGTCTACAACAACAAAGATCGCTCTTGGGGGATGAAAACATATGGTGTCCTCTTGGATGTTCCCTTCAGCCAATTCTGGGAAGTTCAGTCTGCTTCAAAAGCTTCGGAAGATGGCCCGCTATACTCCGTGTATGATGTCTGTTGGTGGGCACCAATGGTGGCCCTTGCTCCAAAATCAACCTGAGCAGGTTGGAACGAAAGAGTCCAACCTGATCAAAACTCACCTCAGCAGCCCTAAGCCCTAAGCAGCCTGTCCAACCAAAGGTGCCCATTTGGGCTTGGGTCGCCGGCGACCCGCGACCCGCGAAACGCCATGGAACAGCCCCGGTGTTCACGGGGGGCGGTGCCAAGGACCGCCACAAGGAAGCCGCCTCCATCTGGTCGCGGGTCATCTGCGCATCCTCCAGCGGATCCGCGGTGGCCTCGGGGGATTCTCCGCACGAGAGAGACGTCCGCGCCCGGGGCATCCAGGCGCGCCCCAAGCCCAACAGTAGGTTTCGAGTTGGAATACATGATTCGGATGTGTGAGTTGGTTTGGAAGTGAACACATGAAGCCTAGTGACAACATACTTAAAGTGAGTGGTATTCTGAATAGCACTAAGTGCGGAAAGAAGTGGTCACGAGTCTTGGTCTTGCTTGGCTGGATCCTCATGGCCGCCATCCCTGATCCCTGCGAGTTCCGACCCTCGGGCCGGGAAACCCTAGAACGGGATGAACCGGTGAAGCGAAGTCTCTACCAGGACCCTCCTGTCGGGGTGCCCTGTCTGGAAGCCAGTCCAGCCAGGACACACAAACCTTGGAGGGTCCAGGTACTGGTTGAGTTGGAGTGGGGCGTCCCCAAGGAATCCCACAAACAGAGCCGCTTGCTGCCGGTTCTCCAGTTTGGCACCTCCCCACCGGTCTCAGCTCCCGCGCCGTGTTCAGAATGGTACTGCGCAGCTCCCGCAACGACTGGTTCGCCGCACGCGTGGTGACGTCCTGGCCCGGACCGTCAGGCGTGACGTGCCTCCAGCCGGAAGAGTGAGTGCTGAGAAGGTGCGACGTCTGCTTCTGTACGTCCTGTACCACCCTTGAAGCACTCCATGATCATCAGGAACCTACCAACAGAGGCTGAAGGACCTTATAGACTATCCCATAGGTACCCCTGTAGGGTCCTATTTACGGTCACTTAACCTCTGTTGGTAATTAGGCACTCATCGGCAACTCTCACGACATCTCGATGTCACCGTCGATGCTGAAGATGAAAGGCCCTATAGACATGGGGCGAGTCTTGAGGCGCCTGGCGCCTTCCACGGCGATCGTGCCGTACCAACTGCCTTTGCCTTGGGATTGAAGACAGAATTTGTGGTCTTTCGGCCGTCGTCCACTTCCATGTGTGTTGGAGAGAGGGTCAGACTCTCAGATTGTTGCACCTGGAATGGGCAAAGTGGCCATCAGTAGAGGCCAGTGGCCAACGTCAGGCAACAGAGTGCATGGCATGTTCGACTCTCAGGTATGCGAGCGGTAGTGAGCCCTAAATAGATTTAACTACAGCAAAGATGCCTTTATGTATAACAGGACCCCCTGGTTTGGGATGGTTCATGGACACCCCTGAACCGCGCTGATCTTTCTTTAAAAAAGGTTGACCTGGTCTTAGCAGTCCAAAATCCTTGTCAAGATACAACGGTCTCTTGTTGGGTCAGTGCGGAAAAAAACCCTCGGAAAATCCCGAAAGAAACTCCTCCGGGTCGCAGCCCCGCACCACCACACTCGATCACGTCGTCCGTCCTTGGCCGATAGCATGGCCGTCGTCTTCTGCTTCACCGCCCGCCGTTCGGCGGCGGTCTTCGGCAGGAAGTAGTTGTTCACCTGGCGCCTGGATTTCGGGACGACGGCCGAGAGCCATGATGCACTGGGAAAGGGAAAGGGTGGGGGGGAGGCAAGGACGGTGTTCGAAACTCTTTTAAACCACAAAAGAACAATAATCCAGCAGTCACAAAGGGGTGCGATCCATGGAGGTTAGGGGTGCCCAGCTACTCCACTCACTTGGAGACTAAACACCACTCCTTTGTGACTCCTGGATTATAGTCACAGTCTGACCTGGGCCCTGATTTCAGGCACGTCCATTCCTACGAAGCACCTTCGACTTCGGTCCACAGTCGCTTGGTCGCTTCGCTTCGCGTCGCTCCGACCGGCGAAGCCCCGGTGCCTTCGCCACTTGTGCATGTGCAGCATACCTCAGCGGCGAACCGCGCCACGGTGAGGCTCTCGCCCACTCCCTCACTGTCTGGCTTCCGTTCTCCTAGCCGGCCTTGGCTGTCCCTTCTCCCCGCAACTAAGCCAGGTGTAGAATCTTGGTGAAAAGGGGTGTTGCACTCCATGTCGGGGGGGCTTGTATTCAGGCATTCCCTGATTCAAACTGATGCAGAATCTTCATGAATGTATAGACTACCTGGACCTTCATGTCCTGTCTGAAGGTCCCGGATAGTAGTGTGGGGACCCAATTGAAGGTGCTGGTACATTAGTTTGAGCGAGGAAATGCCTCCACCCCAAGCTTACGTGTGAGCACGCCCAGCCACCCAGCAGGCGCCGGCGCGTGAGCACGCCGCGCCAGCGGCGCTGGATCATCAGCACCACATCCTGCGGTTCTTTTGCTGCGAAGGCACAGGCGGGATCAGGGCTGTTAACTTGGATTTGCTGTCCAAATGTGGAAAATAGAAAAGAACAATAACCTCAATAACTATAACTATATTCCCCGGGTTGGGTGATTCACCCAGCTCGGGAAAAACAATCCAAGTCACCCGATCTGCAAGAAACCAGGTTTCAACACCCCTTGGAGGCTGAAAGACCTGAACGGGAATGGTCAGGTTCATCTGATATCATCGACATACTATGGCCGCAATGATTGAGGTGCACCAAGCGCGCCTCAACGAAAGAGGCGCGCAAGTAAGGTGACTCCCTTCACCACCCGCTCGACTCTTTGCTATCAAGTGGACTTGGCACACCCCACCCCCCGTGATTGTGTGAGAATAAGACAGCGCCATGCTTTTCGAGGTGGTAAAAACCTCAGCAAAAACGCCCAAAGCCAAGCGTTTAGAAGTGGTGGCCATGCCCAGCGCCCCACGAGTCAAGCGCCTTGCGCTTCTTGAAGTTGCGTCGCGCTTCGATACCCTTGACCCAACCTGGCGGTGAAGCCGGTGAACGTCATCTGTCCTGCTGTGCTGTCCTCATCTACTCAGCTTTATGCCCAGCTGTCCAAAGACCACCACGAAATCATCTCCAAGTACCACCTCTGCGACCTCGCTACTCCTCTTCACTCTCCTCTCCCTCGCCTTGCAGTTGGCTGAGTGCCCAAAGCACTCTCGGCCGCGCACGGCGCATGTGCTCCTGGGGTCCCGTGCGGTCGGTTGACGCGCGCGCATCGATCGTCCCACTGGTCATAAAGGCAGTCGGATGAGAACAAAGCATCATTTTCGCGCACCCCACTACCCAACACATCCCAGTCACTGGTCACAACCCTGTCCCTTCCAGCCCCGCCCTGCCCCACACCCATCCATCTCCTGAAACGCTGGGTCCAATCTCTCTAACAGCACCAGCAAGTCCTTAGGCAGCCACCGACGTCCGGCGCTTGCTCGAGAGCACGTGCACCCCCCACCTCCACCCCCACCCGCGGAGCGACCTGCCGAGAGGCCATGGCATCCATGAAGAGATGCAGCCTGCGCGAGCCCGGGGCGTCGATCCCGCCCGTGCGACCCGGAACCCGTGGGACGCGGAGCGAGCTGGTACGAGGCGAGCCGTCAGAGGAAAAGGCTCTCTTTGGAGGCCGGCCCTTGGTCCACATAACAAGAGAGGTCTAAGATTGTGGCTCTAGGTACCTAGAACACAAACATATTCTCCTGGCCACATTTTGGAGATTTGATCCTCCAAGACAGGGACCACTCAGGCTCAAATAGGGATATACCCCTTCAGACTTCCCCCCATGCAGCGCTGCTGTTCCTGAAAACCACCAGGCAGCTGCATGGAGTTCCGGTGGATTTTCGCTGGTCCAAACCGAGGGCGTGGCCGTGCAACACAGGACTTACTATTATGCTTGGGCGACCCAATCCCAGAGGCTTGGCCCTGCAGTAGGGAGAGAGTCATAACACATATTTTTCATAGCCCTCACTGGAGGTCCGCATCAACATCACACCGAACAGCATCCAAGGTGCATGCGGTTGCCCTTGGCGTGCAGCATGGTGAAGCATTCCTGGGAGGTTGGCACAAGCTGCTTTACATGTGGCCATCACATCAGAGACCCGGAAAAACCCTGAAATACCGGCATTTTCACAGGAGGCTGACACACCAGGTTAGTGCGTTCAAATGCTAGCGCGCTCAATTACATACCACTCGAATCCACTTGCAGAAGGGACATCCCACTCCCCGCCCCTCCAGCCGCTCAAAACCAAGAAAAACACGTACACTCCCTGAAACAATCCATGGTTACGTGGCATGGCCTGTCGGATGACCGTTTTCATCCAAAGACCCAACAGGATCAAACAGGTGGCTTTCACTCCAGCATGATTCCTTCGGGGAGTGTCATTATGTGCCCAGAACATCCACTCACTGGATGGATCTATACCAGAGCCCCCGGATAGGGGTGGTTAATGGATACCCCTTAACTTCTAAGGAGCTATAATTAGACACCCCGATGGCCCGGGGGGCCCTGGTAGAGCCCACCCTGACATGGAACTTCTGGAGTGCTTTACTTCTCAATGAACTCCACGGACATCGCCACGGACATCGCACCGAGGGGCCGTGCACATCAACTCCTGCGTTTGCTCTGAGAAGATCGTGGCCCGGACATTCTGGCACTGGTTGCACATCGGCACCACGGCCACCTCGCCGAGACACAAGACACGAGACAAAAGCTTGGAAAGAGCTGAGGAGGCTCTGTGAAAGATGAGGAGTAGGTCAAACCCCCAAGGCAGGTGTGAACTGTATATTGTTATATACCTCACATTCAACCCCACAACAACAAATATATATATATATACATATTACGTTCACCCTTTTTCAATACAGTGTGACATAATATATATATATATACTCTTAGGAAAAAAATATGTATATATAACCTATGCACTTGCAATGCTCTCTTACTGCACGATACACCCAAAATCAAAATAAGTACCCAACACCCATGGTGTCCAGCCCTGGCTTCCGACGCCGTATGCTGCCCCGCCTTGGAGGCAGTATGCTGCCGCCGGTGTCCTGAGCTCCGGTGGCTTCGTCGACCCGAGTGTCGGAGCGGGTGTCACCCTGGAAGTCCAAGATGACTTCTTCAAAAAGACTATACCAGGAGTCACATGTCGGGTGGTTTCCAGTCCGTGGACAATGGGCATCCCTATCCTCTAATAGGCTTTTGGTCCTGGGGTGGTCTACTGTTTTGGAAGTCCAGACTGTCAATTTTTAAGGGTCTGTTGGGGTGACGCTAGACCAGGAATTTCCTGAACACTTCGGTGTCGAAGATGGTCGAACGGGACTGGTCGTCAGGGTTGAGGCCGCCTTGGCATGAAAGCCGGTCTGGTCACCAGAAAACAACGGAGGACACTTGCAGAAACCCCCTTTGGCCCCTCATGAACACCAATGCGCTCCTTCAGAATGTCTGCTGAACGGGCAAAACCGTGGGCAGTCAATTCGCCCTCGATTTTGCTCAGCCATCGCTTCTCCAAAACTCCTGTGGGACCAAACCCTCCATTCACAGCACCCCCCATGGGGAGGCCAAGGCAACTGTGCGCAAATGGAAACTGTTCCGGCCACCATCCGGGCTTGTCTGAGACGCGGAATTCCACGCAACCACCATCCCCACGCGGAAACCGATGGTTGTCGTGACGAAGCGGCCATTGAAGTGGCACTTCCAGAAGCATTGCACGCAGTAATTGTCCAAGCAATAGTCCTCAGCTCAGAAATCCCTCCAATGTGCTTCAGAAGAAGCACATTACATGGCATCATCCGTCAGTACACTGATGTACATCGAAAGCACTTCAGAGATGTATACTATAGACTATAGATGGGTTACTTCAACTAAATGCGGAAGAGCACATAAAAGATAACTCAAAGAGTATGTACTGCACAGCTTGGCCCATCGTAGTCCGGCCAGGCACCCTCTAACAGCCAAAGTTGAAAGCCTCCGAACCAAGATTCACGGCCCCCCTCACCCAAGTCCACTCCTCCCCCACTCACGTACCCCACAAAGCCAAAACCCTCCTCCTTCACCACTGATCTCACCTGTGGGGCACCGTGTGGAGCACCACCACAAGCACCAAAACCCTCCCAAACCCTCCGGTGAACACCCCTCCTCCTAGGCATTCAGTGAGCCTAGAGTTGTTCGTGGCAACCGCGTCCGAGGACAAACCTCCAATTTGAATAACCATCACTTTACTACTAGGAACAAGTGCATGGCTTCTAGTAACAAGTGCCTTACTACTAGTAACAAGAAGCTATTAGAAACAAGAATTAAAACTAAATAGAATCACTTTACTTCGAGTCCGGGTGGCGCAGGCGAAGGCCGCCGGCCGATCCTCGCACTCCTCGCAGCGCTTCTGCGGCTCGATGACGTCGCCGTCCTCGGCGCCCGGCTCCGCGGCGAGTGGGTTGCGCGCGCGTCCGCGCTGGATCGATCTGGTTGGGTGGCGCGGGTGAAGGTGCCCCTGAAGGGCTCCAAGTGCCTTCTGAGAAGGTGGGACTGGGCTGTTTCGGGTGGATTTGAAGGTCCAGAGTCCAATAGCTTCTGAGGCACTTGGAAGACAGGGGTGGGTGAGATGGAGCCCACGGGTCGTGATGACACCATTATGAAGGGGACCGGCATGCATTCATCCCAGGTCAACCGTTCCAATATATGTAGTATATATATATATGCCAGTTTAGTATGGAGTGCCTGGGTTATTATTAGAAGCTTCGCTGGGTTGCCGTCAAGTAGCTGGCTGAGCAAACCATGCCGAAAACGAGCTGTCAAGCCATCTATCCATTTCCTGTCCCTGCAATTGCCCCCTTTTTGTTTCACCTCCTTCGCGCGTCCATCCAAATGTGAGGATTCTGGGCATCCCCACAGAGACGCTGACCAACATGGACTTGTGCTGCAATCCTGAGGCCAAAACGCGGAAAAGAACGGGTGACGAAGCCCTTGAACCCGCCGGGTCCATCCTCTTGGAGCCTCTAGCGTCCTCTACCCCGTCTCGAAGCGAAGCGTACGGTGCACAAGTCTTTTGGAACGACACCGGGTGTGATGGATCCCTCTAGATCTCCAGGCCCGGCCCATCTCCAACCCGGTGACCGGTGGGCACAGACGGACGCCCCTGGCACCCACTCCCGACCATCTCGCAAGGTGGACCAGGAGCTCTAGGGCATGCAGCACCCGGCCCGGGAGAGGCAACAGGTTCTCCGAGGATCGGCGCCCCGAAGCCCGGGAACGGTCGGGGCGAACCGTCCCCTTCTTCGGCCGGGCGACGGTTGCCACGGCGATGCATGTCCTCGAAGCACTTGAAGCAGAAGTAGTCCTCAAGAGTGATGTTTCGCCCTTCCCCCCCCTTTCTGAAGAAGACAAGTGTCCAATTGTTCTCAAGTGATCTTCATGAACCGTGGCTGCATCTGTTCTCGATGGGCTGACACCGTGCACGTGGCCGGCCATGTCTCGTCCGACTTGCTCTGCCGGAGGGCCGGCGCCGGAGGCGATCAGCGCACCATGCTCAACCCTGGTCGCTCATTGCTATCCTCAAGCCTGGGTTGTACCAACTGACTGGCACTTGGGAGGATCAATCAACATGTAACATGCCTCTCCCACCTTCACAGGATCTCCACCCATTCCCGATCCCCGGGTCCTCACAGTTCGCGCAGAAGACCTGTGGCTTCTTCACTGCACAGGTGGAGCACAAACTCCCACACGCCGTGGTCAAGAAGGTGTGGTTCTTCCTGCCAAACTATGAAGCGTGCCGCATGTGTGCCAACCCCCCCTGGTTTGAAGGATCCAGTGTCCAAAATATAGCCCTTTTTCCTATACAAACAGGAGGGCAAATGGGTTCTACGTGTTTTCGGTCTGATCTCTTCTGTTGCCTTTTGGGATCTCGGCATGTCGTGGCAACTCCTTCCACAAGGTCTGGCCTCACCGTGTGCTCTGACGTTCGCCACGCGAACAGAACAGGACGCATGCCCCCAACAAGCCGTACTCAAGGCTTAAGGCTTAGGCGTCCAATCACTGAACAACAGCGTCGCGGCGTCGCCAAACCCTACTGATGCTGCTGTACCAAGGCCAGCTCAGCCACGGAACCACAATCAAGGCCCAGCCGGTGTACCACATGCACCTGGAACCCAGATCCAACCAGGGGAGTTAGTGGCGGGGACCGGGTTTCGTTCCATCCAGACTTGTTTCTAGTTGGGGCTGGCTTTCCAGGCGCGCTTTCCTGTTGCCGGATCCAACTCACAGTGGTTGGCCTTTCGCCCGTCTCGCCCCCGCGAATCCACGAGGCCATCGCTGCGTGTCTCCTTTTCGCTGCTTGCTGAGCGAAGATCTCAATCGATGATCCGCACTCTGCGGGGTTTCTTCTGTCCAGCTACCGTGGGTGTGTCTGAAATTGGGGGAGTCTCCAGAAACGTGTGATTTGAGGTAAAATATAACCACCGGGTTATAATTTATATGACATTGAAAACAGCTCTGAATTGAAGAATGAAGTGCCGAAAGCGCTTGAAGAAGCAGAAACTAGGTAGACAATGGTAGACATTGGGAGTCTGCAATGATTTTGAGACAAACCCACACTACGATGAGCCCGCCGCGCACCGGGCGCCCAGTGCGCTGATCTGTGAGGCTTGGGGAAACCAACATGTTGAAGAACAACAGGTGTTGCAATTGCAGTGGGATTCTTCAAAACTCCTGGTTTAAATCTCCAGTGTCAGGAGCTCCAAAAATGGCTCCTCATCAGCAGCGATCCAAGCAGGTTGCCACGTCTCCCCCCACCCCCTTCTTCACTCGCGCGCGGAGATCTCCGCTGATCTCCGGCTCAGGGCTTGACACTGGCGAAGGAGGCCCAATGGCCCCAGGTGCGCTTGTACTGATCCCCGCTGGGGTTGCCCACCTGCGTTCGACGCGGCCACCCGTCCCACCCGCCACAACGGTCGAACGCGAGTTCCCGTCCCTCGGCCTTGGCGAAAGTGTCCATGGTCAGAGAGCACACATGAGGAGGCAAATGAAGCATCACATCGGTTGAGGTCGCTTCCAATCTAGAAGCCACGAGATCAGATTGGACAATAGGTCCATCCTTTCAATGTGTTTTTCCACCCTTTCCTGGTCCACCACTCTCATGTGCGTCCCAACTGTCAAACCTTACCTGGAACAAACTGGTCTAGCGGAGCCCACCATCCAACTCCACAACATGACATGAGCTTCTGAGAGGCATCCAGAACACCAACCAGTCCCAGCTTAACTGGTGGATCAACCGCCCACCAATGCAATCTGGCATCCTTCTCCCAACTTCCTTGCCTCATTCACCATCGTAAAAATGCGCACCTGCCCCGAAAATCAGCTCAGGGATGGCGGGATGGAGTCCTATCCAACTGATTGATGCTCAAATTGTCGGAATGATTTCATTGACGTATAGCTTCTAAAGAAATCATTTGACCTGCATGGCCAAATCCATTCCTGGTGCACTTTCCATCTACAGTAACTCAAGAAGAGTTATTCTTACACATCTACGTATGTCTATATGGTATCAATATGGTATATATTCGGACACATACATGTAACGTACATGTGCAAAGACATCTCCTTTGCCTATGCACTCCAAGTTAGGGAGATCCCACAATTTGAGGGCCTATGCACCCCCCCCTTCTGCTTCTGCCCGCCCCTTCCCAACCACGGCCCTCCTCCTTCAGCCCAGGCACCGTCTTGGGCTTCACCTCCACCGTCAGGGTGGAGCCCAAAAGCCGCGTCTCCTCGCCATCCATCGCGTCCTGCGGGGTGATTGACTCGTTGGGCCACCCCGTGGCGGGTCGACGTGCACCGGTGGCGGGCACCGGTGCACCGGGAGAGTGGCCGAGTACTCGGCCGAGCTCGGCCACTCGACTTGTTGGGGGGGAGGTCGGAATCGGTCGGGTGGCCTGGGGCGGCACAAGTACAAGCGATCAGTCCAAAAGCGAAGCTTGGAACAAACAAAAAGGAACCTTCCATCGGCTAACGTGCGGGAGTGGTCACCAATTTGTCCAAATGGCCCAGGGAAGGCTCAGGGTTGAAATGGTTCTTTCATCAATGAGCACGCGAAAAGGAGTGAGGAGTGGATCCAAGATACACTACCAGCACATGGCACCTCTCATCACCTATCATGCCCGAAGATCATCTTTGCGACAAACAGACAAACAAACACAGGAACTTTTGGCATAGAACTCCCGGGACGAGGGTAAGCTAGCTCCCTATAGACCCAATCCTGGGTCGACTACACCCCTATACGTGGGAATTCTGTATGGAATTTTGTTACATGGAACCTTGCTCTCCCCACAACCACAATCTACCATCCAGCATCTTCCACAATCTTGCTGTTGTTGGCTGCTTGGACCTGGCAGTTCCTAGGAGCTTGAATATCATGTCCACCCTCAGAAGAAGAGGCGTATACGAGGCGTCCTTCCCGATCCGACTCGACCGCTCTGGGCCTTGAAGAGCGTGTGTCCCAGGATCGCGGGCACCGGCACGACCACCATCTCCTCGCGGTGCACGGTGCCAGCAAGAGACGGTGCAAAGTCGGGAGCGCAAGAGAGCTGCACGAGAGGAGCTTCCACAACCCATTGCTATTAGGTTGGAGGCCATTGCTATTTTTGACTGTCCGATGTTTGCAGAATCCCAGGGGAGCACAGCTTTCTGTAGGTCGTCACTGCACGAGAGGAGCTTCCAAAACCCACCTAACACTGTCGGAGGCCCTCCGACTCATTGACCAGACGCGGATTTTTGATTTTTGCGAGAGGGAGCTAGAGTGATGCCCCCTTCCATCTTCCACGTGTTCGTTTCATCGGACTGTAATGGTTGAACGGCCTCGCCCCTTCTGGCGCCTGGCCGGAAAACCCCGCGGCCACGAGACAACCCAACCTTCACGGGTGTGGCCAAGGGGTTCGCCAGCACGATCACCACCTCCGACACACGGTCGGTGGTTCCTGGGGCGAACACGGCGAGGTGCGAAGAAAAGCTGCCGAAATCCAAGGCGGGAGGGAGGACTCCAGTGACCCAACATGAGCGACGCATGGAATGAAACACATTTTGAATGCAGCAAATGCACCCCCTTAGCATCCTTGTGCACACTGTTGCAGCCTGAAGGAAGCTGTGCTACAGGTGCAAATTGCCGCATGAGATTAGCAGGACCCTCCGGACCAGGCGTGGTTTCGCAGCGGACTCGGAAACACAGGAAGAACCGACTGGTATGCAACAATTACAACTTGACCACCAACCTGCACAGAGAGAGAGAGGGAAATGTAGGTACATACAATAATTGTAACCCCGCGCGACACAGCGATCTAACACAGCTGCTTAACACCCATAAGAACCCCTATATCAGTGTGTTGTCCGCACTGCTTTGGGAAACGCATGGATTTTCATCGACTGCAACACCATCTCTTTGGACTCGGTCGAACGCCCCCCGTCCCTTTGCTCCACGCCCACGGCGTCCGCATCGCTCGCCACCCCGCGCGCGGTGCGGAAGGGAGTGCGAAGGGATTCCGCTGCTCCACCCGCATCGCTCCAGGCGTCGGATGAAGGCCATGAGGTCTCGGGCGAAGAGCTCCCGGTAGTCGCCGATCCGCAGCGCCCGGTGCTGCTTGCGCAACGCGATCCTGGGAGGGCGCGGGGCGAAGCCAGGCAGCCAAGCTGGTTCAGGGGCGTGGGCAAAGCTGGGGGAGTCCAAGGTCTAACGACTTCATAGGAGCTCCAAGCCTTTCATCCAACCACATCACCCAATCATCACGCCACACACCGCACCTCACCCTGGTCCGAGACATGCTCGGCTGCTAAGCGCCTCACACCGCACCTTCAGCCAAGCCTCAACATCTTGGTATGTTCCAGCATCTCGCTCTCCTTCTCTCGCCCCCACGGCATGGGGGCCCGATTGTGGGGATCCTCACCCCCCCTCCAGGCCCAGCTCATCGCCGTAGTAGATCAGCGGGCAGCCCGGCCAGGTGAACTGCAGCGCCTGCGCAAACTTCCGCGCCTGGCCACTTCCGCACGGCCGAGGAAGGGTGGGAGTCGTGTCAGAACGTGCGGTGTTTTTTATACCCTTTTTTCGAGCAAACGGGGGGAGGAGGGGGCAATTCTGACAGAATGGCAAGTCAAAGGTCTTTGGCATGAGGCATCTCAAGCGTCAGCCTCTCGACCATGTCATGCCCCCCTCACCCACACACCCTCAACAAAAAGCAAACAAAACAGCAGTTCAAATTGGACGCGCCATGATTGGCGTGCCCATGCTCCCGAACAACTTACTGTAACTGGCTCATCACACATCACACCCCACACGCACGTGGCCGCACGTGGCCGCACGTGGCCGCAGCCTTGAGGTCCGGCAGCCGGTGCGCCAGCCGTGGCATGTCGTGGTTACTCACCACGATCCAACACTTCAAGACCTGGCAACGTGGCGATGAGGTCGTCATCGTCTATTCGCCCCGCGAGGTCACCACCACCACGAGGGTCACGAAACGAGGTCATCCTGCTAGGACGGTGGCTATGACTAAACCCAATTGGGAAGATCCGGTGCAAGCGGATCTCGAGCAGCTCGGGGGTCGTTCCTCCAAGTCCTAGTCGGTCCCCAGTCCCCGGCAACACCGCTCGGGGGCGGTCGTTCCGCCTCCTCGATGGAGGAGTCGGCCACCATCCGCGCCAGGCTCTGGGCAGCTGACGGGCCCGGCAGAGTGCCCTCGGCCAAGCCGTAGATGAGCACACCCAGGTGCAGGCTGAGCACCTGAGCGAGAAGCACGTGAAAATGGCCCTTGGGATAAAGTCAACTGGTGATGCATATAGACGACCAAACAAATGAATTATACAAAGGTTTAAATCAACAATAATAGATTAATATATATATAGATTAATTAACAAGTTAAATTCACAACCCCCACCCCTACCGCCATCAAATCTCCCATGATCTTCCCCGCCCACTCCTCTTGTGTCGCCCTCCCTGCGCGGCCCACGCCCGTCCGGGCAAGCAGCTGCATCCATGCAGGATGTCCAATGGGGCGAGTACCTCTTCTTCAGTCATCAATCCCCAACCAAGTTAAACCTTAGCCTTCCGCTCGACCATCCAAAGAGTTCACTTGGCCTCGTTTGGCAGTCTCCTAAGTCTCCTAGCCATAAAACAGCTGAACAACGGGTTTCAGGCGATGAAATGGCAAAAGAGCTGGGAGGACGGTGTGCCCACGGGAGCTGGTGGTTGCAGCATGGAGTGAGGGAAAGGAGGCATGAAGTGCCAGAGGGTGCTGGCTGGATGGTGATTGCAAGTCCGAACCTCCAGGAGAAAACTCTACACGGCCAAGTATTTGGCCTCTTGGGCTGGAACGTGGGTGTGGCAAGAGGCTGCCCAAATCAGATCCTGGAGCTCTTCTTCTTCTTCGTCTTCTTCTTCTTCTTCTTCGTCTTCTTCTTCTTCTTCTTCTTCTTCTTCTTCTTCTTCTTCTTCACGTGACCCGAAGAAGTAGGCAGCGGAGCGCGCGCGCATTGGGCGCACGCCCAGACCTCGCCCACCACCAGGCTGCCCTTCTTGTGTCGATGCGCTGCACGGGTGATGGAGGACAACAAGTCCAGGCCTCGGTGGCCGCATGCGGCCGCGATGGCCGTCGATGCCGCGAAACGTAAGAGCCGCCTCGAGGAACCATGGTCAGACGCATGTCTTATATACTGAGTGCACTAAGTGCTTTACACGACAAAGCCAGCTCGACCATGGGTCGAGTTTGGAAGGCGAGGTCGGGAGGCTGGGAACGTCGAGCCGCGTTTTCCAGGGCGGGAACCCCAGGGGGCGGAGATTCGGAAGAAGATCGGCTGGTGGATCCGGTTGGTAGGGATCCGGTTGGAGCGTTGCGGGAGCCAAAAAGACTAGAACCAACAATCTGACTGATAGAAACTCCTTCAGGATCCTTCAGGGAAGCAGGCTGAAAGCTGAACCGTGACTCATTGAAAGTACGGCCACCCCGACAAATCCCATTGGATCCCCCACTCTTCTTGTCAGACCCACACGACACCACACGAGGCTTCCAATGCGATCTGAGCGAGGTATACCAGGTGCTCTCCACCGCCGGATGCTATCCATGCGAAGCTCCAACGCCAACCCGAGGAAAAGAAAAACACCGCTCACGTGGCGAAAGCATCTTAGTGGAAAGACAGTAGATGGCACAGACCCCAAGAGGTGGTTTATATGGACCCCCATCTAAAGGACATCTTGGGGTCTGTGCCATCTACTCTGAAACCACTGTAAAAATCAGGGAGGTCGCTTTTGGATGCTTTGGATGGCACTACCTCACCGAACCCAGGAGGCGAGCGAACTCACGGGGGTCGGTCTCCCTATCGTCCCTACCTTTCATACACACCGGAATCTATAATTGGGAGGCCATCACGATCACATCGTATCATGATCACGATCACGACCTATCACGATCCATCTCATGCCATCTCCCTAATTTGACGCACCGCTTCTGCTTGGGGGGGGCCACATCCACCCCACCCCACATCCACTCCATTCCACTCCTGCTCCGTCTTCCTCTCTCCGCCCGGAGATCCGCCCCAGCGGCCGATTTCCGAGGCCACGTCCAGGCGCGCGCCGTCGGCGCCGCGGCGCAGCCAGGTGGCCAGGGCCGAGTCCTGCCAGGTGGCGACGAAGGTGACCCGTGCGGTGGAAGAACCCCTATGGGAGCGACTATCCTGCATAGGTCCTATAGAAGGGGTTCTATAGGTCCAGAACCCCATAGGTACACCCCCCGCGGGTCCTACTTACGGTCACGTAATAGCCTCCCTTGGAAACCAGGTGGCGACGGAGAAGATGTTCACATCGTTGGTGGCGGCATGTATGGCCACTTGGACCTCATACACACACGCAGGAAGATCAACAGGGAATCCGATGGCATGGACCTGCAAACAAAGACTAGGGGAGGCCCCTGGAGTGAGACTTCAGTGGCGGCCGCTTACACTCCCTGTAACTACCATGGCTACGTGGATGGCATGGCCCGAAAGGAAGACCCTTTTCCGAATTACCACTGAGTGGGTTTTCCACTTCCATGTTGCTTTTTGGTGCGTACGCGCAACTTTGGGCGGCTTGCTCCTTTTTTGAGGCTTTCTACTTCGCAACCTCCTCTACCTCACTCTTCTCTGGGAGAGGCCTGGAAAGCACACAAAACCCCACAGCACCAGCTTCCTCCAAGTCCTAGTTTGGGCGTTGGAGAGCCACACCAAGCAGCTTGAGCGGATTGCCGGTTTGACATGCTTTGACATGGTTTGCAAGTTGCAAGTGCTGATGACTGTTGCAGTGAGTCTCCCAAGTCGAGCCCTTCAAGCCGTCAGCCGCGAATGACGCCAACTCGCAGGAACCGTCCTTGGAGGCCCACAGGTAGTTCTGCAGCTCCTGCGGCCCCACCGAAGAAAACTGCTCGGTTTTTCGTAGCTCGAGCAGCTGCTCACTCACCGTGGACTGCAGAGGTTTGCACAGTTGAAGGGGTAGACAGAAAATACCTATACCCTGGGAGTCAAAGACTATAAAAAGAATAGTCTTTAGGTGACACGAAGAGGAATGTCCTTTACTTCAGTAAGTCAAAATATAGTCTTTGGACTTCTAGGGTATAGTTTTCAGACCTAGGTGGCACACCTCCTAGATGTTGCGGGCCATATCGACCCGTGCATGGTTGGAATCTGCTCGAGATGTAGGAACACGCAGTTCGGATGACGAGGAACCTCACAACCAACCAACAAACAAACAACCAAAAACCCTGCTGCTACCGAGAAGTGAGCTTAGAGCACGCTCAATGTGTTTAGATGGTCGGCAGCAAACGGGCGAGCCAACAAAAAGAACGGGGTGAGCGCCGCCTCCGCCACGCACCGCCACCCATTCCGCCCACGGACCGCAGCAAGGGCCCTCCTTCGACTCGAGCGCCAGTTCGACCAAGGAGGGCGCACAGCCCCAGACCTGCCCAAAGGCGAGATGGAAGGACACGGACACGGCCGACACTGGCCACCAGGTGAGCTGGGAGAAGGTGGCAAGGCCAAGGCCTGAGAGTGGTTCGTCCGGATTCATCGGGATGCAGGTCGAAACAGGTGAAAAACCCATGCCCCGAACCCGCATGGACCCGCCACGGGAGTCTGAGCTGCAGGTTCCATCAACCCGGGGAGTCGATCTCGGTCTCCTGTGTCACTGACTGGGCCAGTCTCGGTCCTCTGACCTCCTCGGATCTCCCGTTTGACGAACTGGTACGGTCCATTACCTCATGGACCTTCAGAAAGGGTGGGAAATTGGTACGGTTGGCTCGCCCAGTGGGTTGGCTCCAGCGGTTTTGGATGGTCAGAGGTCACACTTCTTGGACGATGGTGAGTGTCACGTCCTTCGGTCGAGGGGTGGTCCACTCCATGTGGACTCTTGATAAAACTCACTCATGGGAAATACAAAATCAACACACTCAGATAGATTCTTCAGTGTTATTCATCAACCGTCTACATGAATGATCAGCACACCAACATCCACCGGGTTGGCCGGGTTCGCAACCTCGGAGCATCCGAGTAGCCGTGCCTTGTAGCCATGCGGTTGGTATTCGTCGCCCATGAAGAAGAACTTCCGATTCGGAGACTCCTTGTCCTTCAACGCTTCCTGCGAAGACGAGCATCCGAGCATCCGAACCGCGCTTCGAACGGAAAGAACCGTCAACACCGGCGCCAGGGAGCGGAGGAGACACACAGATCCGGCCTAAATGGCTCGTCACGTGTCGATTTCGCAGGAGGAAAGGAGTCAAAGAGCTAGGACTGAGTTATGCAGCTTCGTAGCCGGAAAGAAACCTTAGGACTCCGACCATTCGAGCTACGAAATCAAAACAAGAAAACTGTTGGACTCCGAGCGGTGTTTCTAGTCTTCCCGTTTGGTGGAGATGTCTGTCTCCCTTGACCTGCACCAGGTTGCTGCGCTTTCCGCAGTGGTTGAACACAAAGTCCAGGACCAGCTTCATGCCTGGCGATCAGATCCACATGCTGTTCGCTCGCTGCGTTTTTTGTGGGAGGACCAGCTGCCCAGCTTTCCTCCGACCTATGGACTGGGAAGTGGAGAAAAAAAAACCGCCCTGTAGGAAAAACGCATCGCTTCGTAGACCCTTGGGCTCATGGCCCACTTCCATGTCAAGTGGATTCTAGTGGTTTCAGAATAGACGGCACAATCCCCAAAAGATATCTTTGAAACCCACTGGTAGGAAAAAATAAATCAAAAATCCCCAAGTGTTTCACCTTTCTCCACCTTCCACCGTTCACCCCCACCACCGACGTGTGGGCGCCACGGTAGTCGACGAACGACGGACCCTTCTCGTGGAGCGCATCCACCAAGGTCTTGAAGTCTTCGTCCGTGCCATACTGCGCCTGTCAGCCAAGCCGGGTAGCACGTCGCACACCCGTGGCGCGGCGGCGGGTCGCGTTTAATGCGGGTGCGGTAGCACGTCGCACACGTGGCACTCCCTGGGAAGTGGGAGCATGGGAAGTGAAGGGAAGTGGAGGGGCGCCCCTGGAAGACCTGGTTCTTCCTGGTTCTTGATTCTCCGGGTATGCCACAGACTGCCCTGGTCAGTTCGCCATGTTCGTGGACGGCGGCAGCGGTAGGATCCGAGCCCATGACCATGCGGACGGCGCCCCTCGGAGCATTCTGTGCGGTTTCGGTGCGTCGAATGATGAACCACCATCTTAGGAGGGTGATGATGAAGTCTGACAGGGAGGCAGAAATCGACCCATCTCCCAAAGAAATCTGACCAGGATTAGCGGTGCAGCTGTGGGCATAGGTCCACCAGCTTTCCAGCAATCTGAACATCATTCGAGATTGAACATCAACAAGAGGAAACCCTTGTCTTAGACATGGGATGCCAGGGTTAAAGCATGATGTTAAATTGGTCGAGCAAACGACCCTGCGTTGAAAACATCCGAATGTATTCTTTTGAGGTCCATAAGTGACCTCTCCAGAGGCTTAAGAAACCTCAACGTGGGATCTCCAAGGGCCAAACACCAGGTCAGTCGGGCCACGTCCAAATCCTTGTAGTCCGTGGTGTCGTACTTGTGGTTCGAGAAGCTCTTCGTGACCGGCTGCAGGTACATCACGTCAACGCCTGGGCCGTCGTCACCCAGCTACTGCACTGACACGCTGCAGAGCGACCGAGCGGAGTGACTCGCGACCGGACGGAGGAAAGCCTGAAACGACGACGACACCGTGACAGCCCAACAGCAGCCACTTCCCCCGACCGGACACGCCTTCAGCACAAATGACCAAGCGGTGGGGGATGCGGTGGATGTGGTCAATGAGATCATTCATGGTCATTCCAAGTCCCAAACGGGCCCATCCTAATCTCGAACCATCCGACATCACCTGCTCCACCCCAAAAACACCAACAACGGCTGGCCCGGAACACCCCAGAAGTTCGCTCCCATGTTCGCAGCCCAACCCCACCACCTAGACCTCCCCTTTGCCGCCTAGGTCGTTGATGTAGTCCAGCTTCCCGGTCAAGCTCGGCAGGTCCCCGCCCCAGAAGGCCAGCTCATTGCCTCGGCGGAACCGCTACGCTCAGACCGCGGGGTCGGTTTTGGGGCGATCGGGTCGGCCCACCGAGTGGATGTACCAGTGGTCTTTGGTGCCCATCAAAAGGTGCTTTAGGCCAATGAGGGTGAGCATAACCGAACCTGCCGATCTCAGCTTTGGGATGTGGAGTCTCAGAGCCGCGCACCCGAATCGGCGGTTCCAGGGGGAGACTCGGGTCTGAGTGGTTTCGCCCTGAGAAGTTCGGAACTCCCTAGACTGCCTGGCCCAGCATGATGACGGCTTTTTGCCCAATCCACCATTGTTTTACTCAGGATCTTAAACGACAAAACCACGCCCACCATCCTTTAAATGCTTTTATAACTGGTCTTAGGGGCTCCTGCTGGCCTTTTGGATGCACACAAAACAGCCCCGACCCCCACCCGACCCACCTCCGCTCGACCGACTCCAAAGGCCCAGCGGCTGTAGTAGCCCACCGACTCCACAAGCTGACCCCCCTGGCGAGCGGGGCCCCGATGGGCGATCGGGACTACAGGAACCAACCAGCCCGTCGAAGCTCCAGTCGAGTTCCGGGCGCGGCGGAACTCATGGACGATGGAAAAAAGGCTTCGGAAGCCCGAAGGGCTTCCAGCTGTGTGACTGAGGATGTCGGAATGTCAGGTACAAAATCCAGGTCAAGAAATTTATGTTAAAGAGGCGAACCGGTGACGCGGATGGGCGAACTTGACAACGGGGGCCTTCGGCAGCTCGGACCACGTGTGGAAGGTGCCCTCCTGGGCTGGCATTGCGAGTTCGCGTCATCCATACCAGCACCCGACTTGAAAAAGGTCTCCGAAATGGTGGCTGAGATGGAGACTTCAAAGTGGGTGGTCACCTGGCAGAGAGGGTACTGGTAGCAATTGCCTTTACCGGATTCCTTTAGAAGCCCAGTTGACCTGTGTGGTAAAGCAGGACCAGACCCCCTGGTGGATCGATTGGTTCGAACCCTGGTGCTAATGGCACTACAGGCTTCCTGGAGCTCAGTGGGCCTCTGCTTTGAACCGTACCAGACCGGTTTGGGTGCTTCGAACCTTGGGGCGCTCCTCGGGGTAGAGGCTCTTCTTGGCCTCCAAGTTGGCACAGGGCGCAAAGCGATCCACGTAGATCTGATAGACTACGCAGCCAATCCGCCAGTCCTCGGGAGGTTGGAGCGTGTGGTCCCGGCGCAAGCGGTGAAAAAGCAATGTGGCGGATGAAGCTGTTGGATGCTGTTGGTGGGGCTCTCGTGGGGCTCATCATGGCTCATCTTTACAAGCATAAATGGCCAAAAACTCCACCCAAATCATCTGGATCTCGTAATGCCATGCCCAAGAAAGGTTCAGTGTGTGAATCTTCATGGTCCATCGAATTTGAAACGGCCACTACGAAGGTTCATCTTCCCCAAGTCCCGGAACCTGCCCAGAAGTTTCGTTGAAAGAAGTGCAGAAGAGCGTCTAACTCCCGCCGCTTCCTGAGACGGACGATGACCACGATGACGGAAGCGGAGCAACTGCCCATTCCCCGGAAAGAAAATCCTTGGAGCCTCCAGGACTCCACCCAGTTGGAGATTCAGACCCAAAAGCTGATGTGTTGGAGGGTTCCAGGATCGACCTGAAGGGGAGGCACTAGGCGTGATAGCGATCTACATGCCTTAATGTACTCTTGTTGATTCATAAAGCCTCCCGTTTGGATCCACTTGGATTTGTAAAGCCTCTTCATAAGCGAGGGGAGGTTAAGACATCAACAGTCTGCTTTTACTTCGGTCGGTCCAAGTTCATCTCCAAGGCACATGGCGTGCATGACGGCCCGCGCGCGTGGCAGCCGCCCCGGCGATGCCAGCACGGCGGCGCCCTCGGACTCCGCCTGGTGTCCAAAAGCGAGGTGAAAGGTGCTTGCGCGGACTGCGCGGACTGCGCTTCCCTGGAAAGAAGTGTGCGCCCAAGAAGTGCGTCAAGAAGAAGTGGTCACGAGGCCATGGTCGCTCTTGCTGTACCAACTGGCCATGGGGGTCGCCATGAGGCTGGCATGATCTTCGTTGATCTTTGCTCACCCTGCGAGTTCCATGGCTGACCCCCGAGCCGTTTCCCTCGAAAATGAAGGTGGATGGAACTTTCTACCTGTTGAATTTGAGTGAGGGACAAATCTCTAACAAAGGTCTTACAACTCCACTTTTCCTGGGTAGGGTGGTCATTCGAGCAACGTCTGCAAGTCCGAAACGGTCACTGCGCGAGCGCGAGTCAGGGACCACCTCTGCGCCAAACGCGAGCTCTTTTTGGAGCGTTTTTGGAGGACGGGGGAGTCGAGATGACGAAGTTGAAAGTCTTCAATGAACAGGCGACTCTTGGTCCCACCGCTTGATCAGGTGCCGAGTCTTCAACTACAACATCTACAACATCTACATGTGAAGGACAACCGTCACACCCCGCTGTGCGCGCGGGCCGCGGCGGCCCGACGGAAGCCCACCTTGACAGAGCCCCGGAGTGCCGGAGAGGCCTTGGCCTTGGCCTTCCCAACGGCGGAGGACTTCGGCGCGGGAGCCGGGGCACCGGGAGGCGCCGGGGAGGCAAAAAGGTGCTTGCAAGGAGGTGGAAGGGACCCCAAAGGTTCCATGACTTGTTGTTTTGTTGGTCCGGGGGCAGTGCCCAAAACCGGAAGAAGATTTTCACGGACGGTGAGGTGCCAACCACGTCTCCACAAGAAGCATCTGTGGTTTAGTAGCGTCCTTGCTCCTAGTAGTACGGCCAGGACTCCCTAGTAGCTTGTTCCTAGTAACTACTTGTCTAGATGTCTAGATGTCAGGTGGTGGCAGGTGTCAACTCTTTTCTCAACTGTACCAGGCTGCCAATGATGCTGTTTTGGTGGTCTGCCAAGAGCCCATGAAGCACTTTGTCTTGCCCTAATCTCATGGCTTTTGGGCTCGCCCTTTGGTCGGCCGGTCCTGCTTCAATCAAACACGTGGCAAAAGCTTGACGCGTGGCTAGCATAAGCTCAAGGGCTTCTACCCCTTAGGCCCTTCTTCTCTGCAAGTGGCCCGCCAAGAAAAGTCCACCCACCGACGCCTGGCCTTAACCTTTGGCTCGGCCTTCGCCTTTGCTTTAGCTTTCGGCTCGGCCTTCGCCTTTGCCTTGGCCTTAGCTTTCGGCTCGGCCTTCGCCTTTGCCTTGGCCTTAGCTTTTGGCTCGGCCTTCGCCTTTGCCTTGGCTTTTGGCTCAGCATTCACCTGCCAGCTTGTCAACAGCAGGAAGCTATGGTGCTCGCACACACCCAGCCGCCCAGGAACACTTCAGTGCCGGTTCTTCTAAGCTACTTCTACAGCAAGTAGCGTTTGCGGCATCCTGCTCAAATATCCAACCAAAATAAGGATCGAGCCGCTTCCCTAAGCATGCGATGGCGATTAGCAAATGTTTTCAAACAACTGCAACAATGTATCTTTGTTGAAAACTTACAAGGCAGAAACGTACTGCTTATAAAACAGCACAGCACTAGGCCCCTCGAAACGACAAAGGGTTAAGTCCCTCCAAAATGAGCAAGGAGTTCTGTTCTATCTACTCCAACAGCAATAGGATGAACGCGAACCATGGAGAAGAATGCCCCGATCCCCCTGCCATGGCCTTCTTCCCCTTCACAGGAGTGCATTCCTAGCCACCCGCGGGCTAGGAAAGGGTCACAGGCCGCCGTTTGTGGATGTTGCTGTTCGTTGCGGTACGTCAAGCAAAATCATAGAGAGAGGAAAACAGAACTGGAACAGTGTGAAAATTGCGTGTAATTTCAGAGATCTTCCAGTCACATGGCCAACTGGAAGGCCTAATTAGTCGGGAGGATCTAGTGACCTAGGGGCGGTTGATGGACAAGCCATGTAGCTTCTCGCGGGTGATTTCGGATGAACCACCCAACCAAGTCGCGGTCTGTTCAAACCGCTCCCCGCAGGAAACACTGCTCCGGGACCGGCCGAAGGTTCGGACCTCCCATTCGCACCGAGAAGAAATCCCCATGTTCTCCGTCCACCGTCCGTCTGCTCGGACCACACGGACCAAACAGGCGCCAGTTCGGTCCAAGTGTGCTGAAGCAAGCAGCAGCAGCAGCAGCAGCAGCAAAGAACACACGAAATCCACCACCGACGGAGCGAGCCTGTTCCCAGTAGGCATTCACCTCCTTCTTCTTGTAACCCTCGGCCTGACCGATTCGGTGAGCAGATCTGCTGCCTGAGGGGAAGACCAACCGAGGAAAGTAGGAAAGTTCGATGTCGGGGGGATGCCCATGGTCATCTACTCGCGGTACCGGGGTCAAAGCAGCCACCTCGACTGTAAACTGAACTCCTGGTACCTGGACCCTCCAACAAATGTCCTGGCTGCACTACCCCACACTACCGGCCTAGGCTGACAGGGCACCTCGACTATCAACTCCTGGTACAGGCGGTACGGGCGTTTTCCACTCAAAAACCACTTGGAAACACGGAAGCAACAACAGCAACCCCACACCATGCCGCAGCCGAGCGGTCTTCGACCTACCCAGCACGCGAAGGCGACCGGCCACGCCGCGGCCGGCCGTGTAGTGGGCGAGGATCTCATCATACCTTGCAAGCAACAGGAGGTTGGTGTCTGTCCCTGTCGACCACGACTCTCGTTCATCTCCAAACCTCAGACCTCTGTCTCAGCAACATACTTATAAATAGCCATCTCCCCTCCCTAAGAGCTCATGGTTGCTGGTATGACCCTATCCACCGGCTAGCGGATGCTCCCGCCCTAGCGTCCTTCCAGCGTCCTTTCCCCCTATCCCTCGTCCAAGCCGCGTGTAGGCGCCCCCGTCTTCCGGATCCCTTCGCCGCTCCATGGCCGGCGCGAGAGGAAGAGCCGTCCGGTCCGCGCCGCGCCGTTCCCCGCTGCTCGATGAGGCCGGGACCGGGGCCCGGGTCGGAAGAACCATCGGCCCGGGTAGCGGGGACCAGGGCGGAGGAACATGGCCTGAGGATGCCTGAGGTGTCCGGTTCGGCCCAGCAGTTTGGAAGGTTTGCACCGTTTTTCTTCCCTCTGTGTCACACCGGGGCGGAGCAAGCAGGTGGATCAACCTCACCCTCCCGATCTAGGACTTGCCACCCTCAAGCTTCCAACGATTGCGTGCTCGATCTATTGCACCCCCTTAACAAATCTCATCGAAAGCTGAAAGCTATAAATATACATGTGACAAGTGGATCGCATGTCCCCAAAAGTATTATCTTTTTTCCGGGACATGCCAACCTGGTGCTGGTGCTGGCATTTACCCGAAAAACCACGTAACCCATGGATGGATGGATGGATGGATGGGGGAGTGACAAACCCCGAAAACGCGAACGAAAGTGCCGTATCTGAGAGCCATGTCGCCTCTCTTTCGCCTTTCGCTCGGCTCCACTCGCGCGTTCGCTCGGTCCTCGGCCCGAGAGCGTTCTTGTGCAGGGCATCTGCGCAGGACTGGCAGAAGGACATCAGACACCTGAAGGCGGCAGCCACGACCAGCGAGGTGAAGGACTCTCGGCCAAAAGGAGTTCGTCCAGGACTGTTGTAGAGAGCCATCTGGGGGGGAAGTCATGGACCAACATGCTGGTGTTTAGCAGAACCATGAGCTTAACTATTGTTTAGTCTAGGTGTCATGCTTCTGGTGGCTTTCAGAACTTAAGATACTTTGAGAGCGAAACTGGAACCGGAATCGCCACCAGGCCGCACCGACCCCGCCGGGGCCCGGCCCGCCGAAGGAACGACCGAGTCCGCGGCTGATTGCACTTCAGGGTGGACTGCATCACACCACAGGATTGGCAAGGGATCTGAAGATTGCGGAACCTCAAAGGTCGCGGTCGCGGTCTCTTTGCTGTGTTGTTTTTTTTCACCGGCACCCGCAACAATGATTCCTCAAGCTGCGATGGAGAGTTGCTCTCGGCGTGCTGAACCCAAAATGGAAAAAAAAAGAGCCATCTACCTGGGCCCACTGCGCTTGTTTTCTCCGTTGCTTCCTCCAGTTGCCCCCACATCTGGGCGCTCCCCACTGCTTGTTGAAGAGCATGTCCGGCTGGGAGAACAGGAGTCCATTCACCGACCTTGCAGGCTGCAGTTCCACCGTGATGTGGCAAAAAGATGCCGTATCATTATGCAGTAATAGTCAGTATTATAGTGTTCATAATTGTTCGTATATTAATATTGTATATATATATATAACTTGATATAACTATAAGTATATCTGGTTTTACATGTTTTACTATGTTTCGCTTCTAAAGACTGCATTATTGCAAATGTTATTACGGCACGTTTGGACGCCAAACATCCTTCTTCTACACTGGAAGGTCTGTTCTGGTGGCGCCTGGTGGCTTCGTTCACTCTCCGCCACGGAGTGTCTTCCCCCACCCAAGGACACCATCAAAGACAAAGAACAATGCATTGATTGAGTCCTCAAAAACAGATGTCTCCATCGCAGTTTCAGAAAGGGTCTTGTGAGGTCGCCAATCTCTTTTTTACTTTTGACGCGCCCAGGGACTCCAAAGAAAACGCTCGCAAACCTTCCCGCTCTGCGGAAGGGCAGGGCCTAGCAAGGCCCTCTTCGGCGCAAAAGGTGTCTCAGGGCATCAAATGGAACAAGCAAGCTGGGAACTAGTACCCAGGACCGCCAGGACCCAGCATGAAACCAAAGCCCATATGGAAGATTGCCGCTGGTGGCCACAGGCTGCCGTACTTCCTTGGCACCGTGCAGCTGAAACACACCAGAACACGAAGCCTAAACGAAGCCTCCATGTGAAGTTCTCACCGCGAACGGGCCGAAGGGGAAGTCCGTGGCAACTCTTCAAAGCACGCCCAGCAAGCCACTCCACCAAAGGAGGGTGCTTCCAACCACTAGCGAAGCCTTTGCATCACTGAAAGATGCACAGGTCGGTAGGGTTAGGGTTCGACGAGTCCGGAACGCAGTCTGCTGCAGACACAGTGCCTTGAGAGAGTGTGGATTGGGAAGCACTGCATGGGATACAGGAGGTCTGAGCTGTATCCGGCTGGTAAGTGCCTATGGCACAAAGATGGCACGTTGCGCTCCCAGACGAGCTGGCCGAAGAGCCACTCGGGCACGGCTCGCACTGGGTGGAGTACGTGTTTGATTGGTTGTAGCCTGGAGGGCATGGTTTGCATTGGAAGGTGCTTCCCTCAGCATCAATGAGCACCTCAGATGCAGTTCCGGCCTGGCACAGACCGCATCCAACAGCACTTGCCCTGTTGGAGACAAAAGCTCCTGAGGTATCAACCAATCCAAAACCTTCGTAGCAGTCCGTCTTCGGTGGTGTCCAGGATGACCACCTCAAAAAGGCAAAAAAAGACTACAAAATCTGCAGGCAAAGGTTCAAACGTCACCCGCCTGTAAACTCCCCCCCTTCACAAGTCCAAACAAAAAAACAGAATTCCTGCGGCTCATTTGGGAGGGGTTCCAACCCGCCCAAAGGAAGATATTGCCACTCTCTCGCCTGGCTCGGTTGTCTCGGAGCCACTTGCAAGCAACATCATAATTCGATGCTGACCCAAGATCGAAAAGAAGAGATTGTACTTCCTGCAACTCCAAGTTGATGTTGGACACGAACCTTACACTCATTGGAAATGGGAAACTACTGTTCATCAAGGCCAGCAGATTGTTGGGAACAATGCAAGGCTGAGTAAGGGAAGGTCAGAACGTGGAAACTTCAAGGTCAGCACGTGGCCTGTTTGCACATTTCAATGTCTTGCGCAGGTCATGTTCTACCAATGAACCAAAAATGCTTATATTATATATATATACATATATTCTCTCTTCTAGTGTTGCTGGACATCATGTACATGAAAGGATACGGCGAGTGCGAAGCTTTGTGGTCTGCAAGCGGTCACCCACAACATGTGGAGCTTCATTCATACGACAAAGCTGGGAAACAAGGATACTACCAAGGCGATGTGGCCAAACACACCCCCACACCACGAAAAGCAATTCTTCGTTTCGTCGAGGCAGAAGATGAATGTGTTCAAAACACAGGTGTCAGGCCTTCTTTCACTTTCGGTGTGCAGGCCCAGCCCAGGCATTCACCAGGTCAAACGGTGGATGTTAGAAAGCTCCCAAGCGCATCCATCAGCCTTTCGACCTGCGAAATCTTCGTTGAGCCATTCGAAGACGTCGCCCCTGTTCCGCTCGGTCGGCGGATCGCTAACACGGTCGGCGTGATGGAGCACGACATGACCAATTCATCAGAAAACCAACACAAACATTAGGTGTTGGGGCGCGGATTGACCGAGGAAAGGGGCGGGATCACTGGGCAGAAAGCACATTCAAAGAAGCATATTCAATGCCTCAGCCTGACCAAGGAGAACCAAAAAAGAGAGCTACTTCTGCACGAGCCAACAGTTTTGGATGTCTATATATTTACATCAACCTTGTAGCAAAATCATGTTCAAGACAACTGCAACCAATGGATGGGACGCAAAGGTTGCGCAAACCAGGTGGACACCGCAAAAGAATGTAGACACAACACGAAACTCAGTACAGATCGGAATGTTGTGCTTGTGAAGTTGGCTGACCAGCATCATGGGAAGAACAGAAGCCATGGCCTCCAACCCTAATTAAAAGCAAGTGATGGCCTGCCATCCTGATAGCGGTGGCCTCCAACCTACTAGCGATGGCCTCCAACCCTAATAGCGCCCTTGCCAAGAATGACCACACAGAATGACGATTTCCCTCGTCGGAGAGAGAGGTGCTGTCGGTGGCGAAGTAAATCGTTTCAGTGAGTCCAACACCCAAGGAATCCGTCGTGGCACGGCACGTCTATGCTTCAGCCGTGAAAATGCACAGCGTGGTGGTCGAGTAAAAAAGGTCCGAATCCCCAAAGCTAGCAAACGCCAGCTTTGGAGTTCCCATGTGGCACAATTATGGAACATCAAATGCACAACCTACAACAATAAGTGGCAAAAACCTGCTAAATTCGACTAGGAAGAAGCTGTCGAACCCAACCGGCCTTGAACTTCAAGTTGCTGCTGACCATCTTGGATATGTAAGTTGACTTGGCGGCTGTCTTTTGGTCGCCCGCGGCCCACTCCTGCCCGTTGTGAAGTGGAAAAAACACTTGTTGTGGCAACATGTCGATGAAGGTCGAATCTGGAACCCACCAGTAGTGGAGAGCTCGGAAAGTCCGCACGTGCTGCTGCCACAATGACCACCCGCCCGAGACTGCAATGGCGGCCGGGATTCCATATGCTGTCGACCACTGCATGATGGCTTGCAAAAACCACCCATTCCCCGCAGTGAAGACTGGGATGCATGTGGAAACATCGTGACGGCACGCAGGGGCCAACCACCATCGATGATTTCTTTATGGATGCTAAGCCTCAACTACTAGGCCCAAGGACTCAGCAGCAGGACTTGTCACCCAGGCAGGCCTCCTGGCCTCGCTATTCGCAGCGATATCGGTCAGAGAGCGTGGCCGCCCTGATGCGAGCCATATGCTCCAGCGTGGTATGATCCTCATCGACAGATGGCCAACCCACAACCTGAGTCAAAGGGCAGGAAGGTTTGGTAGAGGGACGTGTCTCATGGAAGAACGAGCATTCCCAAACTTGATGGTCCCAGGTGGGAGCCACGGTCTGCTGACAAAAAGGGCAGGTGCTTGGCACTGGCAACTTCTGCATGACTGCGTATCGGGCAGGACTCACAACAGCCCAGCTCAGGACAGCCCGTACATGTGAAGATCCTTTGTCAAAGATGTCTTGCACAAGCTTGTTCCAACATTTGGCAATGTATGAACCGTCAGCCTGGAGCTCGACCCCCTCAGTATCCCTGGAATAATTCAAATAATCCTTCATCATATTGTTGTTGATCATGTCTGTCACGTTGCACATCGCCAACTCTGACAAGTCCACATCGTGAACTGAATCGAAGTATTTCCTGAGGGGCATCAGCGATGGAAAACAGTTGGCCAAACGAAACCCACTTGAAACAGGATACAGAGTAAGGCTTACGACTAAAGTCACTGGCAAGTTTCTTCGGGTCATGGTGCGTCGTGTTGTAGCCTCAGCTCAGACCCGAAAACTACCCCGTGCAAAATCATGTTCTCATGTTCAATCTGCGAGACCCAGGCACTCAACAGTAAGTTCAACAAAGCTTGGTGGTCACGTCTCATGGCACTACCGATCTTTCTTTTAACATGGCCGCCACCCTCTCACACACTACACAGTAGTCAGGCAGACGGCTGGTTTGTGAGGAACCAAGGTGCGTATGCGCGCCACTCGTGGAGGCCCCCAAACTAAATGAATCAACCATCTTTACTACGTTCTTTTTTGGCCTCCATCTTCTAGAACACAGCCACCCACTGGCCACCCACTCACCCACCAGTGCCATGTGCCATGCGCTCAGTAGCTCAGCGTAACTGGTCCCAGGCAAGACCCGAATCGCTGGCCTGGCGGCAGTATGCACGGCCTGGCTGACAAAGATCGATTGCTGGCCCGAATAGCCCATACTGCCCAAATCCTCCGCAGCAATCTGTGGATACTCTGCCGCGAAGGAGTTCTGCATAGAACTATATGATCCAATCCAGGAGTCCATGCTGACATGGATCGTCGTCCTTCTGGCGTCATTGAAGTCGGTGCATCCGGCCAAGGCCGGGACTAGCTCCATTCCCACCCACCTGTAGGATCCACCTCCTCGCGTGGAAACCAAGCACCTCGCGGATCATCCTCGCGGATCACTCGGTGCTCAGAGGCGTGGACGATGCCCAAGCCATTTCGAACACTCCGATGGACATGTGGTTGCCGGCATCATCCTGATTGGTTTCTGGCCATGAATAGTCATGGAACAGTCATGGATTCCGGATTCCAAGCTCTACGTACCAGTCAAAGTTCCACGCCTTTACCCAACCCCGTTCCTGGATGTACACTCGCTGGCTTTCTGGCACACCATCATCAAGACAAAGCTCTTGCGCCGTTGAGCCCAATATGCCGAGAAGCACCACTGCCAAGCGCACCATTGCTCCTCACAGCTTCAGAGTCAGGAACCAGCGAGCTGAGAGCCAAAGGCTGGCGACGGACCGCAAAAACCGCTGGTCTGCACAAACCCTATCAAACTCTCATTTGACTACGCACTGTGAAGATCGGATTCTCATCGCAAGGTGGCGGGATGAAAGAGCAAGTATTCAATACTGTAGTATTCATGCCAGGAGCTACGTTCGTAGCTTCTTGCTTCGTTCGTAGCGAGGCCCTTTGTTCCTAGCAGCGTCCTTGCTACGAATATTCCTGTTTATTTATCGATCCTTCCATTGATCCGAATCAAACCGCGAGCCAAGCCCTCCAAATGCTGCTGATCCTCTCCGAATCGACGTCTGCTTGACCTGTCAGCACCCGATGAGACCAAAAAAAAGCCGTTGGTCGCAGGGCGGTCGCAAATTTTGCACACATTCTTCCGGCCGTGTGAGATGAGAAGAGCCAGTGGGGTTTAGGCCGTTGGTTGCTGGAAGGGAGGCGTGAGCCCCTGTCAACCCAGCGAGAATGAGATTGCCAGCTGATCCCTTGAACCAACAGTCAGTCTAAAATGAAGAATGCAGCAGTAGGATCAGTAGTCAGATTGCACCAATACCATCAGCTGCTTCATGTGAATCGTGCCATCTGCTTCTTGAACCTGCCCGGACCCTGCCCTGGAACAAGCGCTCCAAGCTGCGGCTTCGTGCGCAAGCACAGCAGGTCCAGCCGTTGCCGCTCCAAAACCTTCAAGTACCTCCGGAAACCAGCCCGAGGAGACCCGCAGGTCCCGTTGTCCCGAGCAACGACACCTGGTTTGGAGGAGTGAAATCCTGGTACTTGCCATGGTCAAACTGAAGGCCACTGGCATAGACTATCCCAGTTGGAAACGGTTCCGGGTCCTATGTTACCGGTCACGTCAGAACCTCCGGACCGCCACGGGCGGTCCAACCCGCCCGCCACGCGCCACTCGCGGGTCCCTCTCGCCACTTGCGGGTGCCAGGGGCTGGACGGCGGAAGGATGGGCACCTTTTCGGATGGGCACGGGCTATTTCATTTTGAATAACAACCGGAGCCTCCAAAGTAGGCGGTGTTGTTTTTCCCCCAAACAGTGGCCAAGACCGGCGTGAAGTGGTGCACCACCTCTGTGTTTGGGGCTCCTGTCAGTCCACTGTGTAGCGAAGTACCTGAAGGGCAGGGACGCCTCCTGAGGCACCATGTGCGGGTTTTTACGCCACTGGGAGGGTGTGGTATCTGATACTCCTGGTAAGGTTGTCCGATAGACATCATTTGGATTGCAGTGCTACTCCCCCAAAAGTTTTTCACCATGGTCAGCCGTCATGTAGGGTGCTTGTTCACTTCCATCGTCGTTCTCTCTTGGATGGCGATATGGCTTTCGGAAACAGTTCATAGGGTGGACAGGGTGGAATCAGATCAAGTCATGTCCAGAAACTTCATCCATCCAACTATCCTCCATCACCAAAAGATACACGAGGCCCGGGCCCGAAGCTTGGCTTCGGCCCAGCAAAATGGCCCGGCCTCTGGGTCAAGGGATGCTCAATGGTGTAGTAGTCGTTGATCAGGTCATGGAAGTAGCAAACCCCAGCCTTCACAAGCAGCTGAGCTGTGTGCAGGCTCAATGTGTATGTATGTATATATATATATATACATCCCGGTGGGGGTTGCCTCGATGATATATATGTGCCCAACAGACTCCACTAGAGCTACTAAGGAGTCTGTTAAAGCGCAAACACCGGGTTTGGGATGGGTCAGCCGCTCACCATGAATCCTTGCTCGCGCAAGTAGAAGAATCCTCGCTTTCGGTGGGGTGCTGAGCGTGGCGGTCTGGTCCAGAAGGTCTTACCGGGTTCTTCCCAAAAAAAGAACAGCCATCAAGTCAGGGATGAAAAGAATTCTCGAACCCCCCGTATCCCCCAGCTCGATGGGACCTGATGGGTCTCCTGACATGTACCGACCTGAAGGGCTGGTTTTTGTCCGCATAAGGCCGCTGATACCGAACCTGACCCGACAACATTGAAGTTGGGGTGTGGGGTTGAGACGGTGACGTGGAACGAGTCTGGCGATGGCTGTTTTGGGGGAAGAACCCAGTAAGTTAAATTTGCACTTAAATTGGCTCGCCAGACTTTTTGTCAGGACTCGCTGACTCGTATTCAGCATCTCTTCCACCATAAAACTCTCCCCAGAACTGGTCGCGGCTCGCATCTCGCATCTCCTTTCGGGCACTTCTCCCCACAGCAAAACCTCCACCCACGTCCGTCTGGTTGCCCGCCTTGCTCACCTTCATCTCCGCCTGCGGCGGCATAGGAGCTGCCAGCATCTCCTGAGCCCAGATCGAGTCGGATGGACGGATGAATTCCCAACCATCCTTGGATTGGTTTTGAGGGAAGGTCTACGGGCACAGCCTGCTGGGCTCGCGCCTCCCAGAGCATGCACGAAGTGGGGGAGCCCGAAGATCCCGCCACTGTGAAAAGCCTAAAAAAGACCTGGACTCAGCAATGGACCCACCAACCAGGGAGACCATGTCCCAAACAAAATGAGTTTTCTTCACCACCACCACCACCACCACAGGTTGACATCCCTTATAGAGGAATCGGTTCTTTTCCAGAGGTCTGCCGTATAGACACCCCTGGCATCCCCTGGCTATGTATTTGCGACCCCCTGTGGGTGGTGCTGGCGTGTATTCATGTCTTCTCCAGAGCCCACAATGCGGTTGGTAGACACCCCTGAACCTCTGGGCTATTGATAGACACCCCAAACAGGGGGGGGTCCTGGCATGCGTTCCTTTGGATAGATCCGCTTTCTTGGATCCTGCTGGTCCGGTAGGCTGGCCACCCTCAGCCCCCACAGGGCCAAGTAGCTCGTGCGACCCATGACAGCTCTGGCTCCAGCTGCAGGTTGATACCCAGGTAGGCCACATACCTCAGCCACTGGCTGCCAGACTGCCAGACTGGGGCAGTCAGGACGAACGGGGGGTTCGGTTATGCAGCAGAAATATGTAGATGACAACACAACCAAGAGGCCAGTTGAAGAGAAAAGTGGTTCCCTGGACTTTCCTGGCAAGTGGTTCTTGGGAACTTCCTTCCGGATGCCTCGAACTCCTCATATGCTCCCTGCTTGTGTGGGAGCATGATGCAGAGTTCACTCTGAAAAAGGGACCTCCTCCAAACCACTACGTAGTTTTGGGCTGAATTGGGGTGTCTTTGATTGCCTCAGTGGCTGCATTGTCGAAAAAGCTGAAAGCACCCTTCAGCACGACAACTTCTTTCACACACCATTCCTCCCATGCATTGAAGCAAACCCAGATATAATATATATATATATATATTATGATATATATATATATATATATGTGCACCCACGAGCGCTCACAATGTGTAGAAAAAGAACACGGAGAAGTGATCAAGGACCAAACCAAGCAGGAGACACCCTAAAGGGTGTCCGAAGTCCAACCCAGAAACCGGCCCATTGGGTGTCCATTTCCTCTCATCCTCGCTGGCATCCGAAAGAAAGGAAAAGAAAACGCACCCAAAAACGCATCGGCTTTTCTCATGTCTTTGCGATCTTTCGCTTCTTCTTCTTCTTCACTGCGGCTTTCGCTTCAGTGGCCTTCCACAGGCTGGGGGGGAAAGCAGGCTCTGCAGGGGTGGCGAAAGATCATCGATCTTTCGGACGAAACGGGTCCAACTGAGCGTGGCGATCTGCGTTCCAAATCAACGGTCCAACTGGAGAACAAGAAAGACCAGCGATCCGCAAGTCATGGACTCCAATTGGACTCCTTGCCCCGGCGATCCCCCGACCTTGCCCTTCATCAGTCTTCTCTTCTTCTTCTTTCCACCCTCAGCATCCGGCTCCTCCGTGCCCGGCTCCGCGCCCGGCCTCAGGATGAGTTACTGGGCAGTATGCTTGGAACTCGATCACTCGGGCTAACTCGGCCCAAACGGTGCGGACAGAAACCATGGGCGCAGCTGTTGCTAGGCTTGAGGCCCTGTGACACACATCGATGAAACATGGTTTAGGTTGAGATCAGTTGAACTCGTCACGTCTTTCTCCTCTTGGCCTCGCAAAACTCGTCACGTCCACCAAGTTGCACCATCTCCTCCTCCATCTTTCCATCTCCCGTCGTTGCTCCACGGCCTCGTCATCACGAATGGCTGGTTCTCCGACGAGTTCACCGCGGCCACGGCCTCGTTCTCCCTAAGCAAGAGCACGCTTTGATCCAAATACGGGGGAGCCCGAACCAATGCTCGGCAAGAAGCCAAAGCATTGGCATTTCAGGGAGGGAGCTACATCATTCCCATGCCAAGGAGGTGTCAGACAATCCCCAATCCCGGCTGGAACCCTTTGACCCCAACCTCCCCCCAGCTGCCCCCACATCCTCTTCTCGCCTGCTCCCTTCGGCCCCTTGTTCCGCGGCTGTCGCCGCCGCACTCTTATCCAACGGCCCTTGTAGTTGATGCCATCGAGCAAAATGACCTCAAGAAAGAGAAACCAATGAATGAAATGAATTGGCAGGGTGGGTCCAACAAATGAAATGGGATAGGTCGACACATCATTTCATGTGTATCGCTTCGTCGTTCATCCCGCAAAGGCGATCAGCCTCTTACCTCAAGGTCTTCCAGTGGCCTCAAAATGATGATTTGCGTTGCACCCCCGGAGTGAGGACGAGGATGACGCGCTTGGAGGTGAGGACAACGCCGAAGCCCGGTCGAAAACCGAACGCACCCAACATCCAATCGACGGGTGACGTGTTGTGGCCTGGCAGGAGTGGAAAAACCACCCGTGATGCCAACAAAAGCAATGAAAACAACAGAAAAGGGTGAAGCCTTGCAAAGGCCCTGAAGAAGAACACAGCAGTACTCCCAAGCTGGGCTTTCCAACCTCAAACAGCGTCCGGAAACGGAGGTCCTCCCCTCACCCGGACCAGCGGCAAACAGCAGGGGGGCTTGCGACTGAAAGTGCCTCGAAGCTAGACTTCGCATCCCACCCACTTCCCACGATCTCCGACCGAAAGAGAATACTAGAGGAAACTCAATACCGGGCATCATGTATCTACCCAGAACCTGATTTTGACCCCTGTTTTGAAGCCAAAACACGGTCTTTTCATATCAAAAACCGAGGTCAAACAGGTTCTTTCGTTGGTTCCCCGCCCGGGGCCACCCCCCACCCGGGTCCACCCCCCACCTTGTCGGCCACCGCGGGGTCTTCATAGAACAAGCAGGCCGTGCCCAGGAACTTCCCGTCGGCATCCCGGTGGAAGTAGAACAAGCGCAGCGCGCCAAACTTCTCGAAGTCTCCTGGGGGTCGGGGTGCCCCGTCTCGTGCGTCTCCGCGGGTCGGGGGGCCGGGAGGCTTTCTTTCGATGAACCCCCCCACCTTGAGAGGAAGGTGGCTGGCGGAATCAAGGAGCATCTCAGACCCCCGCCCCGACCGCAAGTCTGTGTGCGTGTGGCCTTGTGTGGCCTGGCACGCGTGGTGTGGTTTGTGTGGCCCTTGATCTCGAACCCGCCGAGCGTCCGTCATCCTCTCCCCTTCCGTCCTCTCAACACCTCCGCTGTGACGGAGAACGGCAGCTGAGACAAGTAGATCTGCCCATCTCTTCTTCCGGCTTTGGGCGCCTGGAGGAAGGAGAAGAAGCATCGAGACAGGTTGGGAGTGCTTGGGAGTGCAGGGAAGCTACCTAGAACCCAGACATGACCTCTGTTTTGATAGGAAAAGACCATGTTTTGGATCCAAAGCAGGGGTCAATCAGGTTCTAGGTACTGTAGGTCATTTTAGTGGGCCGTATTGCATTTGCAAGTGGGTGGGCACCCCATCTGCCGACCAGGGCGGGGTGGCCAGGATAAGACTCCCCTGCACCGCGGCCTGTACCGGCACCCCCCAGTTCGGGTAGTTATTTAGATGGATAATAGATCATCAGGCGGGTCTATCAATCACCCTTTGGGTGGTGCAGCTCTCACATGTCGGCACTTTCTGCGGCTCTCTGCAACAAGAAGCAGACCGTCTCCCTGCCGGAGCTCCCGGCACGCCCATGGGGGATACCCCCCCGCACCCTGCGCCCAGCAAAAAATGGTGGGCAAAGGATTGCTTCTTTGCGTTTCCTTGGGTTGTCCGAGAGATATATATATATTAATATATATATATATATATACACAGTAAATATATATATATATGTTGGAAAAGCCCACTGGGTTATTTACTGAGTAGGGTAATGAAGTCACTTACTCAGTCGCGTGTGCCCCGTTACCATTCTGGAGAAGCTCAAGCTCCACGCCGCCTCTTCCACCACGCGCGGCTTCTTCGGTTTCTTGAGCTTCTCCGGCTCAGCTGCCAGTGCCTTCCTCGGCAAGGCGAGGAAAGGGGGCGCGACAAAGCGACCATCCGAGTGACATCTCATTGGTTCCAGATGACTCACTTGGGGAAGTGGTGCCTACCCTCTGACAATCATCGAAGGCGGACACCTGGGAAGACTCCAGGAGGAAAAGGTCGTTAGGTTGAGGGAAGGACATCTATTGGGCGGCCACTCATAGGCAAAGGGAAAAAAGAAGTATAAATATAGAAAATCTTCCAAAAGTCCAGGATTCTCCAGTTGCACCTTGTTCAGCATCTCCTTCACCTGCCCCGAGACCTCCGCGCTCTTGGCACTCTCGCCGTCGGAGTAGGAGGAGAGTTCGGCATCACTGGAACCTTCAATGATCTCCGGCTCCTGCAGCCAACCATCGGTTCACCCCAAAAGAAGGTGAAACTCTTGGGCTGCTTTCACACATGTCTAATGCGCCAAACAACACTTGAGTGGCTTGAGATGAGGGAGAGGAAAAAACAAGACAAAAATAATATATATATATAATATATATATATATATAATAAGCAGTTGTTGCAGCAGATCCAGTCAATGTTAAAAACGACTGTCACGAAAGCGACCCCAACCGAGCCCATGGACACCTGCAGCTCGGGCGGCAGCTCCGGTTCTGCGGTCTTCGGTTTTCCCGCAGCGCGCTTCTTCCGCTTGGGCGCCATCGCCCGGGAAGGAACCGAAGGATCTCTCTGAAGCGGCCCCCGCAGTGAAGAGTCGTGAGGTTTGTTAGCTTCATGTTCCTAGTAGCAATGGCCTCCAACCTAATAGCGTCCTTGCTCCTAGTAATGGCCTCCGCCTAGTAGCTTCTAGTTACTAGAAAGCTTCAAAGACCTACTAGTAGCTTTGTTCCTAGTAGTAAGGCCAGGAGCTACTAGTAGCTTCTTGTTCCTAGTAGCGATGCCCTTTGTTCCTATTAGTAGCTTCTTTGCTCCTAATGTGTTTTTGGGGTCGAAGATGGTCGAAGGGGTCATGGTCATCGTCCGGTCCAGGAGTGCAATCTCGTTGGGTAGACAAACTGCTTGATTCAGGCAATAAGGGTCCACGCAGTTGTTTTGTTCTCTCCAACTGGCTGCTTGGGTAGACAATCTCGTTGTTCAGGATTCTTTTGCCGATCTTATTGCAATTTGTTTTTGCAGCTACAAGGGGGTGCAAAAAGTGTAGCCGATGGAGGCTTTCAACCAACTGGGGTGGGGAAGCGTTTGCCAGGCTGAGGAGGGTGAACAGGTACTGCATGAACTGCCGATGAACTTTCACTTCAAACATCGCTTGGCAAATGTGCTTCGAACGAAAGGCCATGGCGCTCGTTTCCGCTACATTGGGAAGTGAGTTCCGATGCTCATGCGTGTGTGACTTTCCGAGACAACTTTGTTGTGCACGGACAATTGTTCGCGCGGAATCGCTTGCAGCACCCACATCCTGCGTTGCTGGAACACCACACAGCTCAAAAAGAACATACCGCCTATCTTGTTAATAAGGCTGTATATAGCCTGTATGTAGAGGTTCTGAGCCACAATCACTTGAGCTATTGTCAAAGTCAAAGCTATAGATTCTGTAGAAAACCCCTTTCCCTGGATGTAACCCCCACTGGTCACCATCACCATCCATTCAGAGGGGTGCCATTGGTTGGGGGTCTCACTTGCATAATCAGCTTCTTCCCCTCCACCGCTCTCCATCTCCAATCACATTATGTTGAGTAAGAGTATGTGATGGGACGTGTATTTCACCATTCGTGAAAGAAATATTCATACTGTAAATGTGACGAGGATACCACAAATATCATCATCATCATCATCATCATCATCATCATCATCATCATCATCATCATCATCATCATCATCATCATGGTTACAGTAAATGATGCTCAAGACTCAAAATATAATCGCTCAGACCATGGTGCTCCATGGCTGTCAGCTGATCCTGCCCTGGTGGGATCTGCAGCGCGCGACAACTCTTGGTCTCCTGAGCGTCCACATGTCGAAGAAGAACACGAGAGCCGTTTTCTCATACACAGTTCCTGCACCCTCAAGTCAAAGGACCGATTGGCTTGCGGGAGCACGATCTCAAGTAGGCTTCTTGAAGAAAAGCAACAAACATCCTCCACAAACAGGGCTGCAGCTACACCGCCTACGGAACTCTGGAAAGTCCGCATACAACATTAAGAAATCCATGCAAATCAGCTGCATTCAGAAAGACACGCACCTCCATTTTTTGCTTCCTCGCGCGAGCTCCCAGAACCTCCCCTACCCCACAAACAGCTGCCAACCCCTCAAGTCCCTCAGTCTCAGCCCTCCGCCCCTCCCGCCCTCCACTCCTTGAGGAACTCATCGGTCGCCTCATCGAGCCGGGTGCCGATCCGCTCGGCCTCCGCGCCGAAGACCGGGCGCTTCGTGTCCTCCATGGGCCCTAGCGGCGGATCGAGCGGACCGGGGTTCGCCCCCACGGCGAGACCGCGGAGCTGGCGAGTAGGTGAGAGGAAGCACCCAGTTGGGCCAAGTTGGGTCACCCAAGGCCTTGGGGGGTTTTGAGGGTGGTGGTTGTTTGGGTGGTTTTGAGGGGTCGCAGGTGCAGTGAGTGGAGGTGATGGGACGTGCAGGACGCCCGATCACCTCTAGCCAAGCACCCGGCTTGGAACTGGTGGAAGTGTGGAAGTGTCTCCAAGAGAAGAACCATCGGTCGAGGTGGTGGCGGCTGCTCCATGTGAGTTACATGCAGAAGTCCTTGCTGCACTTGGTCATGGCAAGTTTTGTGGTCCAAAATGCCCTACTCAGGACACAGGGACTGAAATCATAAGAAATCAACTGGTTATGGTCAAGCATCTAAGCGGTTCTAGATGCACACCCTTGTGCTTGGAGAGGGGCGGTAGAGGTTTTGATGAACCTACCGATGACCTCCACCCCGCCTGGGAGGGCGTGGGGGCGTGGCTCTTGCCGCCCACTAACTGGAGCCAAGGCAGCCAGCGCAGCAAAAGGACTGGACCGATCATCGCATTGGTTGGTGATCTTGAGGAGACATGACCCGTCGCCTCTAAACTGGTCTGGTCCCTGCGTTGCGTGTTCGAGATCCCTTGAACGCCCTTGGGAGTGGAGCAAGCCCACGGGCGATGGGCTCTTCAGAATGAATTGGAAGCCGAACGTTTCTCCACCCCCTGGGCAGGGCAAACGAGGAAGAAACCTAAAGGTTGGTCAGGGACTACCAACTGTTTGTGCAGAATAGGGAGACCCCTGAGAAAGCAGCCAAGACAAGAAGCAAAGCCGCAAAACCCATTGGCTGGGGGGCCCCCAATGTATATAGATGAATACACACCCAAATGTTGGTGGAGTAATTACCTTTGGTCTTGAGAGAGGCCAGGCATGCAGTTTTATCCACGTCTCCCATCTGCTCCTTCCCATCTATCACTTGACGCGCCTCGACAGCACCGTGCCCGCACGTGTGGGCGTGCAGTAGAACAGAGATCTCTGAGGCTCTAACTCGTTTCCGGGGTGATGTGATTCAACAGGGTGACCCCTTTGAAGGTGCTGGTTACCCAAAGACAAAGAAGGTCCTGTCTGAAACTCTGAAGGTCAAGTTGAATCAAGCTTTGATCGTCGAGTTGAGTCATGCGGCAAGACTCCCTGTCTTCCATGATATGGGATTTTCATGTCCAGGCAGCCAAGTCACAAATGGAAAGTCTGCGGGCCAGAGAGAGGTCAGAGTTCTATTCGGTAACCAAAAAGGCAATCTTCGGCAACTGGTCTTCCTAAAAAGAGCTCCAACTGCGGGAGTCCGCGCCTATTGAACAGTGTTGGATCGTTTTCGACCTCTTTAGAGATGGAGAGGCTCAAGTGACTGGATCAAGCACTTGGACTCAGTGAGATCTCGTGCGTCCGCTGTGACATCTCGCCCCAAATCGAGCTGCTCTCTGAGGATACATTATCATTTTTGCAGGGTCCGTCCTGTCTCTTTTTGCTATTGTTGTCTTTGTTCGTTGTTCTTTTCTTTGGACCTCTAGTAATGAGAGACTGATAGACCTTGTTTTCCCATCCGCCCCCCGCCCCCGTCGTTCGGCACGCCCCGTTCCGGAGGGGATCGGCACCACTGTTGGACGAACTCCGCTGGATCGGGGTCGCCCTCGGCCTGGGGCAGGGTGGGGCAGGCTGGGGCCGGCGGGGGCAGGCTGGAGGAAACGGTTTTTAAGACGATATACATTCACCAAAACTGGTCAGAGATGTAATTGCTTTGATTCTGTATACTTGAGATATGTTTATTATGTCCATGACCCACCTGAAAGATATAGAATTCAAACAGTGAAGAACTTCTGATAGAGGATATGTCGGACACCTGTGTGTTCCGTCTGTGGCGACCTCTGCAACTCAAAAGGCAAGGAGGCATCACAGCTCCTTGGGTCCCATCAAAGACAGTGATCGAAAAAACGGCGCTTCGTTTTCGCTCCATTGAACACCAATATATCTGCATGATCATGAGTTCAGCCGATCCGTGACTTCCGGTGCGTTCCGATTCCAGCAGATGTCCTCGACCTTCACCACCCACCGACTCCAGTTCCGCATGTTCCGCGGAACAGGCGTCGCGTCGGCCCGCGGTGAGCGCGTCGAGCCGGAAGCCCCGGCGAGTCTCTCGCGGATGGTGCGCGCATAGTTGTGGAGCATCGCGTCCACACCTGAAGACAGTCAGAAACAAGGAGTCCAGTCGTCCAGTCGTTGAAACATCTTTTTTAGTTTCCTGGAAGGCGGGTTTGGGGGTGGAATTGGTGGAGCAGCAGACCTGAGAGAACTGCCTCTATACCAGCACTCGACTCGAAAAAGGTCTCTTCTGGATGGCTTTTGGGAACCTAAAAGTGGCTTTTGCGGAGACCTGGCAGGTTTCGGGTGCTGGTGGGTCTTTGCTTTTTGCAGTATCTACGTTTTTGGGGAGGGGGACTATCCTGCACCAAGAACCGTCCGAGGTCGGACGTGGAGGTCGAACATGGAGATGCGCCGGCCGAAGCAGGAATGAGGAACTGGTGGTATCCTTAACCCCCCCCTGGTCCTTCTTTCAGTCTTCTTTGAGGGATCTGTGGCATGTGGACGGATGAAGCGATGAGAACGAAGGGAGGAAGCCGCCACCCGGAGTCACCCCACTGAGCAACCCCACAATGCGTGGAGGGCTTCGCGTGGAAGCCCGAGATCACCGCCTCCACCCGGTCAACGGAGGACGCTCCACGGGGGCCGGGGGAACGGTGCGGCGCTGAAAAGCGTCCCATGCAAGGGAGAAAAGCTCCTGGACTCTGGGCACCACCGAGACCAGGAATTCCTGGACTCGGGTCACCTGAATCAGCATCTTTTAACACTCTTGGACTCCCAGAGCATTGAAAAAATACAAATCTATATATGATGTGCGTGTGTTAACCAACCAGGTTCCCTTCATTGCATGGTCCCCCCCAACCACCTTCTCCTTCTTCGCTCGCAAACGCAGCGCCTTTCGGACCTTGCCCGGTAAGCCAGCCACGTAGCGGTAGGTGTTCTCTTGAAGCCTCGGCGCACGGGGGTGCCCGCACCGGTGGAGACGGGCATTCCGCCAGGCCTATGTATTGGCCACGTGAACCAGCCTGCATGTCCCTCTTCCACCCCCATTGGATGCTTGAACTGCGTAGGCTCCCAAAAATGCAGACCAAATGACCACAAGTCCTCGTGGATGTCCACTTCTTGTGCCCAAAACCTTCGTGTGGCATGCCACCCGCCGAAACCCTGAACCTACCTGGTTGCTGCCTCCTTCCATCCTCCCCCACCACATCTTCCATCTTCCACCCTCCACTGTCACCCTCCACATGTCCAAGCCACTTCCACGTCCGGGCAAAAACGCGAAGCTCCTCTTCACTGGGGCCGTCGTCCCCTCGGTCGGTCGGCACTGCGGGCGAGGCCCGCGTGGAGGTGCAGCACACGTGGAGGTCAGGTGAGGCGTGAGCAGAAAGCTCTCGGTCGGTCACTCGGTCGGTCCGCCGAAGCAAGAACCTCTGCCATCACGGCTGCTTGGCCTACTTGGCATGGTGGTGTCTCGAGCGAAGACAGAGCGAATTCTGAGGCCGCGAGTGATTAAAATCCTTTGCAAAATAACCACGGTCGTTTGCTACAGCATCCACTTTGGGCACCCCCACTCCGCCTGGCCTTGGGGGCCTGGGAGCCATCGAGGACGCGGGAACAGCGATCAGCCCGGGACCAAAGGGGAGGTCGGGCATCCTGGCCCCAGGATGCCTGGCACACCATTGTTGTTCTTTCTCCATCATGGTCTGATTCCCACCTAACTCACGAGGTTTCCCTGAGAGATTTTGATCACGACCAAGCCAGGGAAAAAAACCGTTCTCTTTGTTTGGGACCCACAGGAAGGCGAGGGGGCGGGTGCATGGGTCCCAAAAAGCGCCTCCTCCCAAGATCGACCCCAAAGCACGGAGGAAAGGACCCATGTCCGGGTGTTTTTGTCCCCTTACAACTTACTCCGTGGAGGTGAAGAAAAAAACGCCAGGACATGGGTCCTTCCCGGAAAACAAAAAGCGGCAGGACACGGGTCCTTCCTGGAGGAAAAAAGGGGAATCCTTGTGATTTCTAAACTTTGTCTTGCTCATTGACTCACAAGCAAAGCACCTCCCATGGGCGAACCCCTGCCGTTCACCGAGCAAAGCATACGAATCGAACAACTTCACCCGACGGTTCTACCCAGTACAGTGGACCCCCTTCACCTCCGGGCCTAAAGTCTGTATTTGTAAGAAGCTACTAGTAGCTCCTTGCATTACTACATTGTTACTACTAGTAACAAGAAGCTACCAGTAACAAAGGGCATCGCTACTAGGAGCAAGAAGCTACTAGTGGCGCCTGCGCCAGTTGCGGCGGTGCCACCGGCGGCGCCGTCGGGGGCGCCGTGGGCGGCGCCATGGGCGGCGCGGTGGGCGGCGCCGTGGGCGGCGCCGTGGGCGGTGGGGTCGGCAGCTGGTTCGGCGGCGCCATGGCCGGCGCATTGGCCGGAGCACCTGGCCATCCAAAAACAACCGCCGGTGCCACCGGCCAGATCTGATCGTGGAACCATCTCACTTGCACGGACCGCGCCTCTCACCGCCGTGCCTTAAAACAGCCGAAAGCTCTCTTCCCCCGCTTCCGTTGGCCGGGTAGGTGGGCGATGCCGAGGGATGAGAGGAAATCCAATCCAAGTCACCAACGAGCACCCTCCAGGGGCCCCACAAACCATCCAAATCTTGGTTTTCCCCTGCCCCACCCAAAGGCAAAAAAATTGTATATGAAAACCTGTGTTTTTTCATGGTCTTGAGAGCCCCTGGCGGTGGATGATTTCTACCTCGACCATCCTGTTCTATCCTGTCTGGAGATCCCGGATAGTAGTGAGCTCGACCACACCCAGACAGGATGGTGGTAGACCCTC